AGTTGTACGCGTGAACATTAACCGCCTTGAGCTTTGGCTTCTGCCGCTTGGAGATGCCTTCATGTTGCCACATGGCAGTAATCCAGGTAAGGTTCAATTGCCATTGTAATTCTTCCTTTCGCACTTCATATATTTTATATATTATTATTTGCAATTTAATCCATTAAGCAACCTGGTTGATTTCCTTCTATAATCTTCCATCTTTAATTTGTTTTAGCTCCAAACTTTTTCAACTTTACACCAATTTAACCCTACAAATAAAATACAGTATTTAGTACAATCCATAAAATTCATGCTCAAAAAGGACAAATATAAATAATAAATGTGAGGCAAATAATGATTAAAATTATGTATTTTTGGCCTCACATCAACACCTCACACTTAAACTTTTGCTAGTCCTAGAGTAAGCATTAAAGCTCATCTCAAAAAAATCATACTAGGTTTGTCATCACTTTGGTTAATACAAACATTAGGCCATATACCAATTTCAAAACATCAAGTAGACTTCTCAATCATTAAGCAAGACATCCAAATAAGCAATAAACATGTAACCTCCTAACCTCAAGGAAGGACTTTGAACTAATCAAATTTAAGTTTGCTCACCTACTCTCATCAAAGAAAGTTAATAAAATCACCTATCTATGCTGAAACAAGTGCCCTCACAAAAAGGAATAGTCCACACACTCAATTCAAAAGATTGAATATAAATTAAGAACTTCATATCAAGAACAACTATCACACTCACAAATAAAATTCACATGTATGCACAAAGAACCATAGGCTTGCCCATTATGTACATCTCCACTAATTAAGCATGCTTGAATAGAATTAAATAGGACTTTAACGGGTTGTAATGTAGTCTAGGGGACGCGTAGGAAAACTATGTAATAGTGACTTACACTTCCTTAAGCACTTTGCACTTTTTAGACTTCATTACCCATTATTTTCTTCTTTTTATTTTCACCTCTCTCTTCAACAATTATTTCACAAGTAATTCTCATCATCTCAAGAATGTGTCAATCATTTTCTTTCTCTCTATTTTTTTAATTCAAAAGATCTTTTTTTTCATGTCACATTCTTTTATTGATCTCTTTTTTTTCACATCACATTCTTTCAAAGAGGGCTTTATAAGCCTTTTGTAGCTATCATTGATTACCTTTTTACTCAACCATCCCTTTTTTCAAAATTGATAATTAGAATAAGTTAGAATAAGTCTATGCTATAATGCTCAAGGAACCAAGGTGCAAAAACTAGGAATTCAACAAAATAGTCAAGGGAAAAATATGGCTACCAACAAAAGGCTACAAGCTCAAAAGGGCAAACTAGTGATATAATATCTGAAAAGGCTAAAATTACTAGACAAATCAAAGAAATCCTATTATCATCTCCTAAACAAAGCAACATTTTTTATTTCGCTTCAATAACATGCAGAGCAAGTTCTAGACTAAGATGTGAAACATGGAATAAACAAATTCTCACCACACATGGCACAAGTATCAATCAAGATGGATCAATTCTACTTCTAAGAGAGACAAGATCATAACAAACTACAAAATAAAATAAGTTATATACGAAGTCACAACCATGAGCTTATTTGTTAAAGAGTCTACAATTTCCTTATCAATCAAGCAGTTATAAGAAAGTACTACTCAAAAATTAGGCCTAAATAGTAAGTATCACACCACTCAAAAGGGTCTTTTCTTTTCTCTAAAAAAAAATTAAAACAAAAATTATTCCTAAAAAAATAAAAGACACTCGGTTCAAAGGGACTATCCTCGGAAAAGAACCGAAAACAAAAGCCAAGGAACCCATCCTAAAAAAGAAAAGACTCAATAAACAGTAAAAACTAGGAATTCATTCCTCCACCCCACACTTAGAAATATGTTATGTCCCCAAAGCATCAAATAAAATTTAAAATAAGGGTTAGAAAAACTCCTCGATGCCTTTAGGCCTAGCTAGTAACATGTTCTCCCAATTTTCATCAAGGGTCATCACCCCACACTTAAGCTCAAACGTGCTCCTTAGCTCCAAATTTCAGCTACTCAGACTTCTCCTAAACTTGTAAAAACAACACAAAAAATGACAAGATTTTAAAAAAATAAGAAGTTACACTATAAATTGGGTTGCCTCCCAATAAGCGCCTAATTTAACATCGCGGCACTACACAAGTAAATTCTCTACTTTTCTTTCCACTTTGAACTTATGAATGGTACCCCTAACTTTGCATCTATTTTTCTTCTCCTCTCGGGGGGTGGGGGTGGTATAAAGATAAAGGAACCAAGTAATATATGTCGCATCTTGCACTTCTTGGCCCTTAGGTGAGGAACATCGTTTTGTCTACGTGGACTAAAAAACTTTAGAATGTAGGGGCCTTGTTCCTCATCTATACCCTCATCCATTAGTTCATATTTTATAGAAAAGTGTTTTGAATGAGATACAAGTTGCCTCAACTCCAAAGCAACATTTTTTACACCATTCTCACTTTTGTACTATTTCTCAACATCGATATTAAGGAATAAGGTGTAGTTGAATTGTTGGAATTCCTCTTTTTACTCCACTAGTTTGTCATCATCCACGACAATTGGTAATTGAACTTCAGACGCCTCTAAGTCATGAATATCTGAGCCAAAATGATCTATTTCTTGTGTGAGCTCAACTCTTCCTTCAATCAGTTGAGTTGTCATGTATGTGAGACCATCACGGATAAACCCTTCAAGCTTTAGAAGTTGAGTTTCTCCTTGTATCCAAAATTGGCTCACTATCTCTGTTTCGCCATAACTTTCTCCTTGTTGGGCTTCAATCTCTTCTAATTCAGTTTGGACTATAATTTCTAATTGAATAGCATCAAGCTCATCCAGTAGTTTCATGACTTTTTTGTGCTCTTCCCCGTATTCAAATATTTGTTCCATGAATTTTGAATTTACTTTGTCCAACATGTCTGTACATTTCATAAGTGAATTCATATTGTGCGCCTCTTTTTTTGCATTCTCCAATTCATCGCCCCTGCCAACATCACAAATAACAGAAGAATCATAATAGGGGGTTGGGGGAAGGGAATAAGATTTTGCATAACCATTCCAATGAATATATTGACGACCACATATATGACATAAAGGACATTCATCACTAACCACGATTTATCCCAATCATCCATATTAATAAGAGCACCAAATTATTCAAAGAAAGAAAAAAAATTGATTGTTGGAAAAACAACTAATTAAAAAAAGCAAAAAAAATAAATAAATGAAAAGAAAAAATATAACCTAGAAGAATAGTTAATTTCTAAGTCCCCGACAGCGGCGCCAAAAACTTGTTGCTCCTAATTGCACACACAAGTGTACGTGGTCGCGTAAGTAATATAGTGACTCTTAAAAGAACCAGATTATCAAACCCAAAGGACTTGTCAATTGACTATTTTTACTAAATTATACTGGTCTAATTCTTTATTTAAGAGTGCCAAAAGAAAAGAATGCAGGAATAACATAATAAAATTACTTATAGTGATTTGGACCAGGGTTGCAACATATATCGAATTTCATGTATCGTATTTCAGGCAATGGACTAATTTCAGTTATCAAGTTACTGGTTTATAAGGTTAATTGTATGAGTCGGGTCTCTCGACCTCTAGTCACCTACTCTAGTTAGATGTCTAACTACATCATCATGTTTCGTAACCAAGCAAGTTGTTCATCCGGGAATCACTCCTAAACACAAATCAACTTGTAATGGATGATTGAGCTTTCTATATTCTCTGGTCTATCTACCCTCTCTCCTCTCTCGATTTTAAGAATAGACAATAGATTTATTTTATGGTGCGCAAGCATAAAATACTAAAACAAGAATATAGAAGTAACTTATGATGACAACCAAGATTTAATTCATAAACCTTAAATATTCAACATTATATTCATAGCTACAACCCCAAATCAATGGCGCTTTGCCACTAATCTCTAAGAAAGGAAGAAAAGAAAAGAACCTAAAAAATATTGACGACTTTCTACTTGATGCCCTATAATTCCCCCCAATAATTGATGTTCTCCAATAATTATTTCCATGGACTATTTATAGATGTAAAAACCCTAAATAAAATAACTGAATCCAAAACAAACCGGGAAACCAAAAAGGAATTGAATTTTATAAGTTGTACGTGTGAATAGTAATCGCCTTGCGCTTTGACTTCCGCCACTTGGAGATGCCTTCATGCTGCCACGTGGTAGTAATCCAGGTAAGGTTCAATTGAAATTGTAATTCTTCCTTTCGCACTTCATATATTTATATATTATTATATTCAATTTAATTCATTAAGATGTCTGCTTCATTTCCTTCTATAATCTTCCATCTTTAATTTGTTTTAGCTCCAAACTTCTTCAACTTTACACCAATTTACTCCTACAAATAAAATACACTATTTAGCACAAAACATTAAATTTATGCTCAAAATGGACAAATATAAATATTAAATGTGAGGCAAATAATGATTAAAATATGTATTTTTGGCCTAACATCAGTTATCTCATTGTAGTTCATTCCTTGTATTCCCTTTTTGGACTATGTTGTATGGGCTATGTCCCATTCTCATTTTGAATATTGTAATAGATGGCTATGTTGAGACTTAGAGTCTAGACTTCCGCTTTTGCTTTTATGAAAATTTTAGACTTGAAATGCGTTTTTACTCTTATTATTCTATTGCTTATGTTATGATATGCTAAGTGGCTTGTATGGAGTCCTTCGGGGTTCTATATGTCATGTTACATCTAGGAGGTACCCCTGGGTCGTGACAAACTTGGTATCAGAGCACAAGGTTTAGAATGATTCTAGGATGATGTCTCATAAGCCATGTCTAGTGGAGTCTTGTTCATAAGTGTGAAGCATGTCACATTTATGAATGAGAGGCTACAAGATGATTAGGAAACTAAACTTCATTCATTACTCTAAGTCGTGCCGTAGAGTTTAACTCTATAAAGTCTCTCCCTTAATCCTTGCCCTATGTTATTCAAGAAATGAATACTATAAGGGCTAATGCTAGAAGGACGGAGGGTGACAATGTGGAACAAGGAGCTCCTCCTCAAGCTGAACAAGCTCCAGTTGATCCTATGATCGAGAATGTTACTCATGTGGAGTTTAGGGAGATTCTTCAAGTTTTGGCTCAAGATGTGACGGCTCAAGCCCAAGCTGGTGACGTCCAAGCCAATAGAGAGGTTGTAGCTCCCATGCATCCTAATGTGAATTCGGAGGCTTCAAGAGTGAGAGATTTTGGAAGAATGAACCCCTCAAAATTTTATGGCTCCAAAGTTGAGGAAGATCCTCAAGAATTTATCGAAGAGGTCTATAAGGTACTTCTTATTATGGGGGTAACTTCGGTAGAAAAGGTGGAATTAGCCGCTTACCAATTGGAAGGTGTTTCTCAAGTGTGGTATAATCAATGGAAGAAGAGTAGGCCGGTAGGAGCGAATCCCATAGAGTGGGAAGTGTTTAAATCAGAGTTTCTTGATAGATTTTTCCCCGAGAGTTGAGGGAAGCTAAGGTAGAAAAGTTCATTAACCTTCATCAAGTAAGTATGAGCGTGAAGGAGTATGTCCTAAATTTCACTCAATTGTCCAAGTATGCTCCAACTATGGTGGTGGATTTGAGGGATGAGATGAGTAGGTTTTTGACGGGCGTGTCTGACTTGGTAGAAAAAGAATGTCATACGACAATGCTCCATCATGACATCTATCTCAAGGCTTATAGTGTACGCTCAACAAATTGAGGATTCAAAACTCAAGGAAAAGAATAGGAAGGTGGAAAGAGCTAGAACCGGTGATGGGAACTTCTCCAATGCTAGATCTGATGGACAAGGTTGACCAAGGTTTAGACAAAGGTTTTCCAACCAAGATTCCTCTAGTTCTCCCCCAAGGGTAAACAAGGATAGGTTTTTATAACCCTAAACCTCAAGGAGGTAATAGTAGTGGCTCTTATGTGACTGCCTATTTGTGCAAAGTGTGGAAGGAAACATGATGGTAAGTGCCTAGTTGGCACGGATAGTTGCTTTGGTTGTGGAAAGATTTGTCACAAGATGAGAGATTGCCCGATGCTCATGGTCAAGGGGAGGGAAGTCAAGCAAGCTCCGCTTAGAAGTTCAAACTCCAACGCTCCTAAGCAAAACTGCTTCTATGCTCTCCAAACCCGAGTTGACTAAGAGAGCTCCCCAGATATAGTGACAGGTATGTTTAAAGTTTTTCCTTGTAGATCCCGGTGCTGCTTTGTCCTCTGTGACACCTTATGTGTCCATGAAGTTTTATATGCTCCCCTAAGTGTTATTAGAACCTTTTTCAGTCTCTACCCCGATTGGTGATTATGTGGTGTCTAAGATGTTTTGTTTTGTTGTCCCATAGAGTTACTCTTGTTGACTTGGTAGAGCTTGACATGTTAGACTTTGATGTGATTCTTGGTATGGATTGGTTGCATGCATGTTATGCCTATATCAATTATAGAACTCGGGTGGTTAGATTCTAATTTCCGAATGAGCCTATCCTAGAGTGGAAAAGGGGAAATTAAATGGCTAGAGGTCAATTTGTCTCTTGTCTTAAATGTAAGAGATATGGATTCCCAAACCCCTTCTCTAGAGTAGGTTTCGATAGTTAATGAATTCCCAAAAGTTTTTCCCGATGATTTACCCGATATTCCTCCCGAGCGGGAAATAGATTTTGGTATTGACCTTTTACCAAATACGCAACCTATCTCAATTCATCCTTATAGAATGGCTCCAGCAGAGTTAAAAGAGTTTAAAGAGCAACTAAAGGATTTGTTAGATAAGGGTTTCATCCGAACGAGTATCTCTCCATGGGGTGCTCCCATGTTGTTTGTTAGAAAGAAGGATGGGTCCCTTAGAATGTGCATTGATTATTGTCAATTGAATAAAGTGACCATTAAGAACAAGTATCCTCTTCCAAGAATTGATGACTTGTTTGATCAACTTCGAGGGACTAGTTATTTCTCCAAGATTGATCTTCGTCCGGGTTATCACCAATTGAGGGTGAGAGGGGTTAATATTCCCAAGACGGCTTTTCGAGCTCGGTATGGTCATTATGAATTCCTAGTGATGTTGTTTGGTTTGACTAATGCTCCGGTGGCGTTTATGGACTTGATGAATAGGGTGTTTGGACAATACCTTGATATGTTTGTGATTGTATTTATCGATGATATTTTGATCTATTCAAAGAGTGAGAATGAACATGTGGGCCATTTGAGAATTGTGTTGCAAGTTCATAAGGACCAAAAACTTTTTCCAAAGTTTAGCTAATGTGAATTTTGGTTAAGGTCCATAGCTTTCCTTGGTCATATTGTGTTAAGCAAGGGGATTGAGGTAGATCCTAAGAAGACGGATGCGGTCAAGAGTTGGCCTAGACCTCTAACTCCTTCCGACATTAGAATCTTTTTGGGTTTGGCCGGTTACTATAGAAGGTTTGTGGAGGGATTTCTTCCATTCTTTCTCCTTTGACGGCTTTGACTCAAAAGAAGGCTAAGTTTGTGTGGTCGAAAGATCGTGAGAAAAGTTTCCAGAGTTGAAAGACAGACTTACCTCCGCTATGGTGTTGACCTTACCGGAAGGTATAGATGGTTTTGTGGTGTATTGTGATGCCTCTAGATTTGGGTTGGGATGTGTGCTTATGCAAAATGGTAAGGTAACTTAAGATCCAAGAGAAGAATTATCCTACCCATGACCTTGAGTTAGCGGCGGTTGTGTTTGCCTTAAAACAATATGGAGGCATTATTTGTATGGGGTCATGTGGATGTTTTCACCGATCATAAGAGTCTCCAATATGAGTTTAGTCAAAAGGACTTGAATCTTCACCAAAGAAAGTGGCTAGAACTCTTGAAGGATTATGATATGAGTGTATTTTATCACCCTCGGTAAAGCTAATGTGGTAGTGGATGCTCTTAGTAGATTGTCCATGGGTATTGTGGCTCATGTAGAGGATGAAAAGAAAGAATTGGTTTGTGATGTGCATAGGTTGGCCCGACTGGGTGTTCAACTAGTGGATTCCACCACGGGTGGTGTCACGGTCCATAATGGTTCCAAATCGTCCTTTGTGATGGATGTGAAGTCTACACAAGGTCTCGATCCTATATTAGTTGAGTTGAAAGAGGTGGTACGTAAGAAGTCCATTGAGGTTTTCTCCCAAGGGGGAGATGGGGTACTTATGTACTAAGGTCGGTTATGTGTTTCGAATGTTGATGGTTTGAGGGAACAAATTTTAGAGGAAGCTGATAGTTCTCGGTATTCTATTCACCCGGGAGCCACCAAGATGTACCGTGATCTACGGGAAGTCTATTGGTGGAATGGGATGAAGAAAGATATTGCGGGATTTATGGCCAAATATCCTAATTGTCAACAAGTTAAGGTTGAGCATCAAAGGCCGAGAGGCTTATCCCAAGACATAGGTATTCCCACTTGGAAGTGGGAAGATGTAAACATGGACTTTATTTCTGGTTTACCCACCCGGAGATAACATGATTCTATTTCGGTCATTGTAGATTGGATAACAAAATCAGCTCACTTTATTCCCATCAAGGTTTCTTTTTCGGTACAAGACTATGCCAAGATATACATAAGAGAGATAGTGAAGTTTCATGGGGTTCCTTTATCTATTATTTCCGATCGTGGTACCCAATTCACTTCACACTTTTGGAAGTCATTCCAAAAAGGTCTTGGCACTAAGGTTAAGCTTAGCGCGGCTTTTCATCCCCAAACAGATGGGCAAGCGGAGCGTACCATCCAAACATTAGAAGATATGTTAAGGGCATGTGTTATAAATTTCAAGGGTAATTGGGATGATCACTTACCATTAATAGAGTTTGCCTACTATAATAGTTATCACTCAAGTATCGGTATGGCTCCTTTTGAAGCCTTTTATGGTAGGAGATGTAGGTCTCCAGTTGGTTGGTTTGAGGTGGGTGAAGTTTCTTTGATAGGTCCTGAGCTAGTTTATGAAGCCATTGAGAAAGTTCGGCTCATTAGAGAGAGGTTGAGAACGACTCAAAGTAGACAAAAGTCTTATGCCAAATGAGAAGAAGGGATCTAGAATTTGAAGTTAATGATTGGGTCTATTTTAAAATCTCACCCATGAAGGGTGTGATGAGATTTGGCAAGAAAGGAAAACTTAGTCCCCGGTATGTAGGCCCATACCAAATTTTGAAATGTATTGGGAAGGTTTCCTATGAGTTGGATTTGCCAAATGAGTTGGCTCCGATTCACCCGGTGTTTCATGTATCCATGCTTAAGAAGTGTATTGGATATCCGGCATCCATTATCCACTTAGAAGGGTTGGGAGTTGACAAAAATCTTTCATATGAGGAAGTTCCGGTAGAGATTCTAGATCGGCAAGTTAAGAGGTTGAGAAATAAGGAAATAGCTTTCGTAAAGGTTTTGTGGATAAAACACTTAGTTGAGGGTGATACTTGGGAGGCCAAGGTCTATATGAAGTCCCGATATCCTTATTTCTTTCCTACTACTCTTATTCAAGCTTGAAGTAAGTAGTTCCTCTTGACTTTTCCTTGTTTTGGAAGTCATGAGTGTTATATGTGTTTTTCCATGATTTCCTTATACTATGCATGTTCTTAAGAAATTCATGTTTAGTAAGAAAGTGAGTTTTATGATTGATTTTCCTCATGTTGTTGTGCATTGAGTATGAGCTGCATATTTGACTTCATGAGATGAATTGATGAACATGCTCTATATGTATATGTTTTTCTTGAGTAAATGGCCTAATGGTTTCATAAGATTGTGTTGAGCATGCTTTAAAGCTTGGAGAAGGTAGTTCCTCCTATGAATATGAGAAATGTTGAGTTTACATGCATAATGGGTTGTTAGATATAGTTCCTTCTTCATTGTGATGCATTCATTATGTTTGAGATGCAGTTGATGTTTCCTCCTTTGAATGGTGCATTGTTTTGATGTTTCATACATGATGGGCTGCTAGTCTTTACTTCTGTAAGGTGTCTAGATCATCATGCGAGGACGAATGTTCCCAAGGGGGAGATATTGTAACACCCCGGAAACTAGTAGGCTAAACTAGAGCTAAAACGTGAGGGTTAGAGTCAAAGAAGTTAGCAAGGGCCAAGGGAGAGGACTAAGGCAGTCCACTCTCCCCTAGACACTCCCCTAGTGACCACGACTCGTGGTAGGGACCATGGCACACGGTATGGTTCGTGGTGGACTAGGTAGTAAGCTCCCCAAAATCTGCCCAAAAGCAAGCTCCTCTTCACGAGCCACTTCACGGCTCGTTGTGAAGACCACAGCTCATGGGAAGGCTCGTGGAGGAGATTTGTCTGTGTGAGGGTGGAAAATAAGTGTCAAGCCATTGCCTCATGGCCCACGAGAGGGACCACGGCTCGTGGCAAGCACCACAGCTCGTGGAGCCCCTCGTGAAGTTGCCTTGGGCTTGTGGGCTAAAGGCACAAGTTGCCTAGCCACTGCCTCAAATCCACGAAGGGGAACACGGCTCGTGGTCATGACCACGGCTCGTGGAGCCCCTCGTGGCACCTGGGCAGCTCACTTAAAGTGAGGAGTGTTTTGGGAAATTCTGGTTTGAGACAATTAAAGTGAAGTCGTTTTGGGTGAGTTTAGGGTCACTATATAAGTCATTTTTAAGTCAAATTCACCTAAATTAAGTCATATTTTCCAAACACCCAAATAATTCCCAAAGTCCATCTCCTCTCCAAATATTCTCTCTCTAGAACTTCAAGGAAGAAGAAGAAGAAGGAATTGGAGCTAGGGTTCAAGGAGCAAGGTCTTCTACTCAAATTCATTGGGTTTCATTGCTAAGGTGTGGTACTCTTCATCCATGGATAGAATTCATCCATGGAGCCCCTTCAAAACCCCAATTTCAAAGATAGAAATCCCTAAACGCTAGGGTTTGATTCCAAAGTCATGGGTTCCTTTAAAAATATGATTCTAATGCTTGAATTACTTTATATTATGATTGAATTGATGATTTATTATGGTTTTTATGTTGAAATCCCTAAGAACCCATGAAATCCCCATATTTCCAAATTATGATCTTGTGATGTGGGTGTGTTGATGAAAGAAGAATATTATGAGATTATGCTTGTAGTAGTTGAGTTACTTGAATTATGTTAATATTCATGTCTAATGTAGTGAATTCTAGATGTGTTGATTTGATATGATCTTTGATCCTTGAAAGGGAAAATTATGATATTATGCATGTTTATGAAGTCTTTGTGTATGCTTTAAGAACACTTTGAGAGTGAAGTGTCTATGATTATGATCTAGTCGTTGTGTTGTTGAAAGGTAATTCTCATATACACACTTATACATGAATATGATATGATGTGAAAGGTTTTCTCACAATATGATGATTCTAAGGTTGAAAGGCTTTCTCACCTATTGAATCTATATGTAGACTTGGACAATGAAAGGTTATTCTCACTCATAATCTAAGAGCTATCCTATGAATTATGTTCGATTGAGTGGTAAGACATTCTTCCATAAATATGAAATCAAGTCAAGACTTAATAAGTACTCCGTGGGAATTAATGCTTAGCACCGAGTGGATATTGATATGTGATGGAATCCCTCACGTTAGTTGAGGTCGTGTTTCTAGGAGCAATCTTTTGGGATGGAAGCCCTCACGATAGTAGAGGCCGGATTTCTAGTAGCAATCCCCTTTATCCCATAAACTATGTCCCCCCATAGGTTATTTAGCTATTGGATCCATCTAAGCTAAAAGTATGGTTCTACCTTAGGCAAGTAGGACAACCCCTTTCGGTGTGGGTAACACCAAATTTCATGTTAAGTTCACATGCTCTATGTCGGTTAAGGTTTATTCCCACAACAACAATATGAACAAGAATATGAATTATGAACTATGGTTACTCAAGAAGCTTTACTTAGCATGGGTGAGATTTATGAGGTCTTATTCATGCATTCCACAAGTATGCTTTGAGGGTATTTATGAAGTGTTTCTCCTATGATATGATGATCAATGTATTGACTATGCTTATGACTTATGCTTTTTCACTATCTCCATAATGATGTTTTAACTTGGTAAATTGCATGCTTTAAAATGAAATGTCCCTTTTAGCATGTTTTCAATGTTTTTATCCATGGCTATCATACTACGTGCATTTTTGTACTAAGGCCTACTTTTCCTACATTTTTCCCAAGTGTAGGGTCCGGTTCTCAAGGTGATCATCGTTGTGGCTAAAGCTTGGACTTGCTTATTCTCTTAGCTTGTTGGTGAGACCCCATGATTCGAGGCCGGATATTATCTCATTGTAGTTCATTCCTTGTATTCCCTTTTTGGACTATATTGTATGGGCTATGTCCCTTTATCATTTCGAATATTGTAATAGATGGCTATATTGAGACTTAGAGTCTAGACTTCCGCTTTTGCTTTTATGAAAATTTTAGACTTGAAATGCCTTTTTACTCTTATTGTTCTATATTGCTTATGTTATGATATCATAAGTGGCTTGTAGAGTCCTTTGGGGTTCTATACGCCATGTTACATCTAGGGGGTACCCCTGGGTCGTGATAGTTTCACATTTCAATGTTAAAAAAGTGTATGGGCGATCCTTCACTTATTATACCTACCGAAGATATTGGTATTAATGATAGCTTATCTTACAAGGAGATTCTCGTTCAGATTCTAGACCGTCAGGTTCGCAAATTGAGAACCAAGGAGGTAGCATCATTCAAGGTCTTATGGAGAAATCAGTTTGTTGAGAAAGCTACTTGGGAGGCTGAGGAGGATATGAAGAAGAGATACCCACATCTCTTTGAGTCTGGAGAAATTCCAAATTAAGGTACTAATTATTTTTCTTGGCACGTATTTTAGTTGAAATGTTGTGTTACTTTGCATATCAAGTGTTTGAGTTGGGTGTTGATTTTACCACCCATAGTCTACTTAGAGTAATCTTATTCGAGGACGAATGTTCCCAAGGGGGAAATATTGTAACACCTCGGTATTTGAAAGAGCTAGAATTAGAATGAACTATTTTTTGAAAGAGTAAATTTGGAAATTTTGGCAAGTCATGCTAACCACAAATTTTGGGTCGACTTCAAACGATAATAACTTTCAGTACAAGATGAGTTAGGTGGCCCATAAGATATCAAATGAAAGGATATACATTGTTGATGTTTGAAAATGGACAAGGCAAGGATTGATGTTTCAAAGAATGGCCAAAAATACAAAAAGAAGTGCAGACTATACATTGTTGATCGTCAAACGAGAAAGGTGGATCACCTAATGAGCATGACCCATGTAAAGATTGTAGAAATAAATACTTCAAATAAAAATTGTAGAAATAGATACTTAAAATAAAAAAAGTCACATCAAGTGATTTCTTAGACATATATACTACTACTAACAAAATTGATATTTGAACATTACCGTCCAGCATAAAACAACATTACCAATTTAAATATACAATTTTTTAAAGATGGTTAATAGGATCCTGCTTCACGAATAACATTCTTTTCATTGATTAATCATAATTATTTAATAAAACAAAATGAGATTTTTTGTTTGAATTATAGGTCCACCAAATATCCCTCTAGTAAATTCCAGCGCCATAGGTTTAATAAATCTCATCAACTTATAGAAAGACATATTCTCATCCAGATGCCTTCTCCAAAGAGTATTTTAGCCTCTATTTTTACTAGAATAACATTCATATCATGTTCATTCAATCAAGAAGTATAGAATCGCTTTTGAATCTTCACATAATACATATCATTTACATTCGACTCTCAATATTTTGTCGGTGATTTGTTTGAATAGACTTAAAAGTTGGTCAAACCAAATTTTAAGCCAATTTTTGACAAACATTAAAATAACTTCAAATAAGTCCAAAATTACTTAAAATAGGTTAGAAAGTATCTGACAAAGTTTAAAATACGTTAAAAAGCAAAAGTAGACCTCTCCCTACTTTGACTTAAAAGTCATTTAACTTTTTAATTATAACTATTTTTTAAAACCAATCGAAACAGGCAGTAATTATTTTTTGCAGTTTACTCAACACCACCTAAAACACAATAATGACTTGTTTTTATGTGGTTACACTACATCCTATTCAAATGAGTCGATGCTTATGTGTGAGCAAGTTGGTAAGGGCCTATGATCTTGAGAATGGATCAAGGAAATCCCAATATCATCCATTCTTCATGTTGAACTGTCTAGCTTTGCCATTGAGGATGCCGAGACGACAAGATTAGGCTCTTGAAAGGACATTCAATTTTTCTTTCTTTCTCCGGAAATTAGTAAAGTTAAAAGGGATATCTAGGAAAGGACAATAAAGAAACTCGAGTTGAACATCACATCCCCGGAAAAGCTTATTTTTGTAGGAACTTTCCAACAAACAGATTGTTGCTAATTTTTCACAGCTAAGAATGCTTTATTGAAAGCTTTAAAAGAGCAGAAGAAAGGGGCGCATGAGCATTGAACAATGGAAAGAAGGTAGGAATAATAGGATCGCTCAAACTTGAAAATTAAAAGAAATGAGCAAAGAGATTAAATGGATTCATTCAACATACGCTTGGTAAATCAAGGAAAACAACATTCTCCCCTACAAGATGGTTCTGGGTAATCTATTGTCACTTGGTACCAAGTTAGTGGTAACAAATTGAAAATGCTTCCTTCCCTGCAACAAAAATAGAAATAGTAGCAAGAATAGAACAAAAGAGTGAATCTGACGGATCGTTTCTTGATTCAATATGTGCAGCCAAAACCTTCATGCTGTGATTTAATATACAGAAATCTTCAAGTTTTAACTGAATCTGAGTTGCTGGAAGCTATTGAATGTGCTTTCCTTTCTGCTTGAAGCGATCTACACAATGCTTCAAGCTTCTCTTTCTGGTTCCTTGTTTTCTCCAACTGTTTCTTCAAGAATTCACGCTGCAGAGAAAACAACATATTTTAAGGTTCCTATTGAGAAAAACAAGTCCTATTACGCAAGCATAACTTGAGCATCAAGCGATAAAACAACATAGACAGTCTTTATTTATAAGAAAAAGCTTTGGAGAAACTAAAGTATCATTCAAGTTATCCAATGCACAAAGTGCTACAACAAATATCGACCTGGGCAACAACGACAAGCTTCATGGTTTCGATGCCACACAACCCACATAAGATAGACAGAAGATAGATGTCAGAAGCATATTACAAAAGAGAAAAAGGTCATGATATTTGTTATTATTTTATGATGATATGCAAATGGGTTGGCTGGTGGTGGCAGAGCTGACTGGGCTTTGCTCGCGTCAGTGGTCCAAGTCTCGCGGTGGTGTTGGTTTGATCAACACCTCTGAAAATAGAGATTTTTCCGGACAGCCAAGAAAAATATTTGGGGCCTTAACGAGACTCTGATACCATGTGTACCAGAACAGAAACATAGACATGTCCAGAAAAAGTTAAGGATATCAATACAAATCAATACCTAATTGAAATAGGAGTAAATCAATCTACCTACTATATTTACATATGCTATAGAATATTCACAGGATTCTAACAAAGATATTCACAAGAGACCTTATCCTATTTGAGTGATATTATCATAGCAAAATATGGGGAAGACAACAGTTGGATGACTAATGAATTGCACTCTCCTTATGGAGTTGGTCTGCGTGGTCTATAAGAGCATTGTGGCCTTCTATGAGGAATCACAGCTCCATAAAGGTGAACAATGGGTACAGAACATCATTTTGGGAAGATAACTGTTAAGTAGGGGGTGTCTGGAAGATATATATATCCTGGTATTTATGTACTGTCTATGCAACATCAGATGATAGTAGCATATGCATGGTCCTCGCAGGGGTGGAACATACAACTCAGAAGGAATTTCAATGACTGGAAAGTGGATACATTGACTGAGCTTTTAAAAGTGCTAGAAGATTTCAAAGGTTAACAGGAGGGTGCAGATTGTCTATGCTGGAAAGAAGACAGTAGGGAACTCATTGAAGTTAGCGTAGCTTACATTAACAGATAGCTCTTTGGAAAGCGAAGATACCCTTCAAGGTTTCTTGGTTTCACGTGGTTATTAGCACATGAAGCTGTTTTGACCCAAGATAATCTAGCAGGAGAAGGATCCCCCTTTGTTCAAGATGGTTTTCTTTGTGGGAAAGAAATTAAGACAGTCAGCCACCTATTCTTACATTGCAAGGTTACAGATCAGCTATGGAGGATGTCTACCAAGCTCAGAGTCATAGCATAGACAATGCCCCGGAAGATAACTGAGGTTCTTTTTTGCTGGGTTGTGGCAGGAACGGGAATTGCAGACAAGAATAGATGGAGGAGGGAAGGTCCAAAATATTGCTTGAATTTGATGCTCCCAGGCACGGTAACCAAGGACCTTCTCTCTCCTACTTCCTAGGATAGCAGAAGGCTCACGCCGGTGTAGACCACCATCAACAGACCTTTCTTTCTCAGCCAATCAATACTCACCCACTGTGAGAATTGCTTCAACCTTTTTTCTTTTTTCGTTCGCTCCACAGATCAGGTATTTACTATGGCAGACAACAGAATCTATTTTAACGCAGGCTTCAAGTCCTTCGACATCACAAGATGGAGTTCTGGCAACACAACCTGGTTTGACTGGGTAGAGAGAAGTAGAAAAAGAATGCAAAGGATAACGCTGAGCAGAAAGATAATGGAATGGATTTGTTATATCCTCAAGGAAGCCTCCAACGACAATAAGAATCTGGTTAGAAGATGGAGGACAAAAGAACAAATTTCAGAATTTTACGGCACCAGAAAGTACAACGTACATGGAAGGTACATGAGTCTTTTGGCCCTCATAGGAGAAACCAGAGAAGTTATTATTGTTCCTGAACTTGGCATTAATGCGGGATGGAGAAACATAGCATTCAAGATTGAAGGCTTCATTAACACCACTCCACAATGTATAGTCAAACAGCATTCAAAGCCAACCATTTCGTATGCTAGGGTAGTTGAGAGAAGTAAATGGCAACAACAAAGTCACAAAGAAGCCAGTGCTAGCATAGAAGGCCCACTGGGGAGAAGTATTACGAGATTATTAGGAGGATCTGAGAGACCCACTCTGATTGATGTAAGAAAATGGGCCTCCTCGACCTGGAAGAAAGCATTTGGAGTTAACATCTATGAGATGGCAGGGCACATCTTCCTTTTTGAATTCCCAAACAAGCACATGGCAGAGCAAATTCTGCAAGGAGAATGGAATTGGAAGAACATGAAGGTGAAACTGGAATGGTGGAACCCACTAGTTGGCTCGTAGCATCACAGCAAAGACAGGAAAAGATCTGGATCAGAGCAATAGGAGTACCCCTGCACTTGTGGTCCAAAGAAGTCTTTAAAGAAATAGGCGATAAATGTGGAGGATGGTACAGAACGGAGGAAACAGAATTGAGAAACCATCTCAGATGGGCCCGTATTGAGGTTAAGAATGAAGGGCAGAAAATACCCAGAGAGGTCGCCATAACCAAACAAGGATACACCTTCAGGATTCCGATCTGGATCGAGGAAGTTATGACCTTTGAGAAGGCATCGGGAAAAAACATGGAAAATCAAATTTCCATGGCGGAGACTGCGAAAACTGGGGAAACCCTAGATGAGGGCTTTGCACGGAGGTCTGCTGCATGTCCAATGAAGAGGACGGGTAATACCCAGAGATTAAAAGCATCTTTTGAAGTCATCAAGCAAGTAGCCAGATTGACAGTTGTTGATTGGATGGCACACGTGAGGAGTGGAAATAATTCAAATTTAATTCCATGTGAGGAACACGTGAGGTCTCCAAGGAAGGAGATGAATAATTTGAGTCATGAGCCGGCCCAAAACCAAAAACCACTCCAACAAAAATTAAATACCTCACAAGCCCAACCCAATCTAGAACAACAAATTGAGGAATTCTGGGATCAGTAAGGCTGCATCAGTAATTTGCCTGTTTTTTAAGAAAGCATTTTGTTCTCCTGATACTAGCTTCCCCATGACTGTCTTCAGCCTCTCCGCTAGGACTTTAGCAATAATCTTGTAGATACTACCTATGGGACTTATGGGTCTGAAGTCTTTGAGTTCTATTGCACCTTTCTTCTTTGGGATAAGGGCAATAAAAGAGGCATTGCAAGACTTTACCATGTGACATTGTTGATGGAAATGAGAGATAGCCCCCATTAAGTCAGGTTTGATTATCTCCCATGCTTTTTGGTAGAATGCCATAGTAAATCCATCAGGGGGGCTTTTGCCCGGTGCACAAGACATCAAAGCAGCTCACACCTCTTCCTCTTCAAATGGTCTTTCTAACCAAGCTTTCTCTATCAGTGATATGCTGGCTAAACCATCAAAAGATACTCCGGGCCTCCAATTCTCATTTTCAGTGTACATGTCTTGGTAGAAACTGAGAATTTCAGTTTTGATCTCCTCACTCTCTTCACTAATTTCTGGTTTAATGGAGGGCCCTTGGGTTACTTGTGGGGACTTCAATGTATGCAGGTTCTCCACAGAGAAGAGAAACTGTCAAAGGAGATCTACAACCATTGTAGAATTCTCAGACTTCATAGAAGACCTGGAGCTTATTGACTTGCCACTTGAAGGAGGAACACATACTTGGTTCAGGGGAGATACAAACAATGTTGCATCAAGGATAGGTAGAATCCTATTCACAACCGAGTGGAGTGAACATTTTAGTAAAATGAAGCAGGTTGCTCTACAAAGACTAACATCAGACCATGTGCCTATAGCTTTACACTGTGGACCATGGGATCTGAACAAATCTTATTTCAAGTTTGAAAATTGGTGGCTGAACACAGAGGGATTTATAGATGTCTTGGTGGAATTCTTTTGCATATACAGGGAAACCAGACTACATTTTAGCATGCAAATTGAAAGCACTGAAGGGTAAGCTCAAGGAGTGGAGTAAGGAAGAAAAAGGAAATTTGCTTTTGCAAAGATCCATCCTGTTAAACAAGATGGCAACTCTGGACTCCATTATTGATAATAGAGCACTAACAGAGGAAGAGGCTGCATTAAAGGTAACTACTTTCCTGGAGTATGAAGAACTACTCAGGAACGAAGAGACAGCATGGAGGCAAAGATTCAGAGTTTTGTGGCTAAAAGAAGGTGACAATAACACTAAGTTCTTTCACAATTCAGCCAATGCACATAAAAGGAGTAACTGTATTGACCAACTGGAATTACAAGGTGAGACAGTGAAGGAGCCAGACAAAGTGAAAAAGGAGATCATACAGTTCTATAAGAAGTTGTACACAGAAACAGAGAGATGGAGACCAGCAGGAAACATGATAAATTGTCCTACAATCTCAGAAGCAGAAAAAGTACAATTACAAGCCAAATTTGAGGAGGAGGAGGTGCTCAGCTGCCTGAAAAAGTGTGCTATAGATAAGGCCCCTGGACCTGATGGATACACAATGGGCTTTTTCATCATATACTGGGAAGTTCTAAAACATGACATTATGAATGGCTTCCACAACTTCTATGAACTTGAGATATTTGAAAAGAGCTTCAATGCAACATATATTGCACTGATTCCCAAAAAGAAAGGGGCAAAGGAGTTAAAAGATTTTAGACCAAATAGCTTGGTAGGCAGTTTCTACAAGCTTTTGTCTAAAGTGTTGACTGAAAGGATCAAAAAGGTGATGGATAAATTGGTAGACTCACAGCAAATGGCTTTCATTCAGGGCAGACAAATTATGGATGCAGTATTGATAGCTAATGAAGCAGTAGACTCAAGAATATCACAAAAGATGCCTGGAATCCTATGCAAATTGGATATAGAAAAAGTTTATGATCATGTGAATTGGGGGTTTCTAATCAACACACTCAAGAGAATGGGATTTGGGGAGAAGTGGATCAAGTGGATCAGATTCTGCATCTCAACTGTAAAATTCTCAGTAGTGATAAATGGATCACCGGAAGGTTTTTTTTGCAGCCCAAAGGGGAATAAGACAAGGGGACCCTCTGTCCCCTTTTCTGTTCATCCTAGCCATGGAGGGTCTCAATAATATGATTAAGACAGCAAAGGTCAATGGCTGGTTATCTGGTTTTGAAGTGGCTAAAAACAGTGGAGAAAGTCTAGAGGTGACACATCTACAATACGCAGATGATACATTGATTTTCTGTGGTGCAAAAGAGGAACAATTAAGATACTTGAGAGTGATCCTAGTACTCTTTGAAGGCATGTCAGTTGCACATTAATTGGGAGAAGAGTCACATTTATCCCATATACAATGTACCAAACATTAACCTCTAGGCCTCAATTCTGGGAGGAGAAGTCGGAACCCTACCCTCTATATATCTAGGGATGCCATTGGGGGCCCAATCAAGGTCCAAGGGAATTTGGGACAATGTCCTGGAAAGATGTGAGAGGAAATTATCAAGATGGAAATCCCAATACTTGTCTGGGGTAGACTCACTTTGATTAATGTTGTGTTAGATGCTCTCCCAACCTACATGCTTACCCTTTTCCCCATCCAACCAGGGGCAGTACAGAGGCTAGACCAGATCAGGAGAAGCTTCTTTTGGCAAGGAAATAATACCAAGAAAGGTTATCACTTAGTCAAGTGGAAGGAACTAATCTCAAGCAAGAAACAGGGGGGCCTTGGTATCAAAAATCTGAAGAACCAAAGTAAAGCTTTGAAAATGAAGTGGTTATGGAGATATACCCATGAGACACACTCTCTATGGAAAAGGGTGATTACATCAAAGTATGGAGAATTGGATGGGTGGATGACTGAAGAAGCAAACAATCCTTATGGGTCACTGTTTGGAGATCTATCAGAAACTAGTGGACTATTTTACGTAACCAAACTACCATTAGTGTAGGTGATGGTAATAAAACCACCTTCTGGAAAGATAGGTGGTTAGGTAATTGGAGCCTTGCAGAGAAGTTCCCTGATCTGTTTGATTTAGCTATCCATCAGGACAGAACAATAGCTGACATGTGGGCGCTCCAAGGCTGGGACTTAAATTTTAGAAGAAACTTGAATGATTGGGAAATTCCTAGACTGATTGAGTTCTTCAAAATCCTTGAAGCTTTTCAAGGTCTGAAGAATGGGGTGGACAGACTATGGTGGAATGGGCACAACAAAGGGGCATACAAAGTAAGTTCAGGGTACAAACTTCTGAACTCGACAGTGGCACAGAACTCCATATGGCCATGGAAACAAATCTGGAGAACCAAAGCACCTTTGAAGGTGGCATGTTTCTCATGGCTGCTAGCAAAAGAAGTTGTCTTGACACATGAAAACCTAAGAAAGAGGAACATTATCTTAGTCATGCACTGTTGTTTATGTGGTGAGGCAGCTGAGACTGGGACATTTGTTTTTGCATTGTAGAATCACTGACCAACTATGGAAGATTTTCATTAATCTCACAGGCATACAATGGACAATGCCTAGCAAGATTGTTGACACTCTATCTAGTTGGGAAGAAGCTGGGAAGGGAGCAAAAAACAGGAGCTACTAGAGAACCATACCATTTTGTATATGGTGGACCATCTGGAAGGAGAGAAATGCTAGGTGTTTCGAAGATAGGAGTAGAACAGTACAAAAAATCAAAACAGATTGTATTTTGCTTTTGTGTTTTTGGTGTACAAGGAACTCCCCTATAGATGCAGAGAATATCCTAGATGTGTTAGAATCATGCTAGGATTGGGAGTCCTTTGATATATTGCTATACTTTGACTTGTTGTAAAGGGGTTTAGCTCTACCTAAGTGCTGAGTTATAATACAAATGTTACTTATTCAAAAAAAAAGAATAGATGGAGGATTGTCTCCGGCTTGTATATGGTGGGCAATCTGGAAAGAAAGAAATTCCAGATCTTTTGAAGACACTAGCAGTTCAGTACAGAAAATCAAATTGATTTGCATTAGACTTCTCTATTTTTGGTGTAGACAAACCTTCATAGAAGATACTGAGTCGTTTCTGAGAAGTTTTGATCAGTTTTTCTTCCTTATGCCTTGTAAAAATGGTTTCAGCACAACCTATGTTCTGTTTTGGTCAATATACAAATGTTACTTTATAAAATAAGAAACGGAAAAGGGCCTAAAATACCATCGAAGTATTGAAAATGGTACACAACTACCCCTCATCCACCTATTGGCTCCAAAATACCCTCCTCATCTACCTATTGGCTCACAAATACCCTCCCCATCCACCTTTGGGTCCAATTTTAGCCACTTCATTAATGGAGCACCATTTAAAATAATTAAATAATCTTTTTAATTACGTGGTGCTCAACCATTGGTTGCAATTTAATTATTTAATATAATTTTAAACCCACCCATTACCCACCCATTTTTAACTAAACCCGCCCCAATACTTATTAATCCCGCCATAAAATATAATATTAAACCCACCCACTTCCCGCTCGATCGAACCCATGGGTTCTTTTTGTATTGGGTCGGGCGGGTTTAATAAGTATTAAAATGTACCATAGTGTGACCATTATATTAATCTAAAATAATCAGATCACAAAGAAAATCCAAGATTCTTTTAGAGGGACAAATTGTATAGATACTGAGTTAGAAATTTATATTAAAAATTCGAAATGTAAATCTAAAGCTATTGAGTTTAGCTGAATTCACCTCTGACTTCGTTCACCACAAAAAAAAAGATATTTTACTGACAATAGATTTTTTTTAGTGGAAATTGAGTTAATGTTATTGCATTCAAAGTTGCTAAAGTCTTTAGCGTTATTTATATAAAATGTTGGCTATGAATATACATATATTATTGCCGTAAAAAAATATAATATAACGAAAATTTTATTATTATCGTTAAATTCTTCATATGTCGTAGTGATTGCATGTTTGATTTATATGACTACAATTGTATCACCATTACAAAAAAATAATTCCAGATAATCAACAAATGTGAACTGTACATACATTATGTTAGCAACTCGTATTTGACTCCACAGGAACCAAAAAATATATTTTGTCATGTATATAATGTATGTTTTTATAACTTATATTAATTAATAAAGCTTAAGCTTATTTATTGAATTTGCTCTTCTAGGAGATTTCTTGACGCTCATTCATGACATTAGAAAGATGTTTCTAATGTCATGACATCAAAAATACATTTTGATGTTCATTCATGACTTGATGCTCAATATTTTAGGGTGGGTTTAATAAGTATTGGGGCGGGTTTAGTTAAAATGGGTGGGTAATGGGTAGGTTTAAAATTATATTAAATAATTAAATTGCAACCAATGGTTGAGCGCCACGTAATTAAAAGGATTATTTAATTATTTTAAATGGTGCTCTGTTAATGAAGTGGCTAAAATTGGACCCAAAGGTGGATGGGGCCTATTTGTGAGCCAATGGATGGATGGGAAGGGTATTTTGGAGCCAATGGGTGGATGAGGGGTAGTTGTGTACCATTTTCAATATTTCGAGGGTATTTTAGGCCCTTTTCCGAGTAAGAAATTAAAGAAGGCAATACAATATAACTGATTAGAGTCATTAAGTACCTTCTTTTTTTTTGGGGGTAGGGGGGAGGGGGGGGGGGCAGCACTCAAAGGTAGAAGTACTATCCATGGATACAATTAAATTAGATATCTTCAGAACATCAATTCAGAACTTAATTTCAAAGCATATGGAGTAAATTCAGATATATGCAGAACAACAACTCAGACCTCAACTCAACAACTCAAACCTTAATGACTCCCTGTCGTCTTTACTTTTGGTTCGATATCCTGATCATGACTTTCCTATAAAACTTTTCCATGTTTCAGAATGTTACTTTAGTTATTAAAGTATTTTGATTAAAACATGTGTATTTTAGGAAACTTATCATAGATTGCTTTATTTGGAGCATTAAAGTTAAGGAATATTGAGTTTGATAACCAGAATTGTGACATAGAAAGACAACAACAGCTTATTTTCTTAAGTTGGTATAAAACTTAATATTCATAGGAAATCTGGTCTATCCTGCATGTCTTATGTTCTTTGCAGTTCAGTGTATCTGTCTGCGGCACCTGTTTGCGGCATCACGAGTAAACAATTAAAAAGAGAATATGCAACTAAAGAGAAATTGAATAATTTCCTTCCATCAAAGAGTTAAATTGATTAGAGACAGGATTACCTCTTCAGCAAGTTCTATAAGAGAAACATCTGACTTGTCACATTTGGCCTTCAAGAAAGCATTCTCCTTCTTGAGTTCTTTTATTGATTTTGCCATCTAAAATCAGAACCATGTAACATCAAAAAGGATAACATTGTGAGTGTAGGTCTAAAAGAAATAGTACTTGACTTGTTAGAATAACCACAGCATGAAGGCGAACTACTCCTTCTGCCACAATAAACCTAACCCCCTTTCCCCTTTGGTCCATCTCAAAATATTTGATCTCTTTTCCAAAATGGAAAATTTCCCTTCCTTCAACATTTCAGACTAATATAAACTAATACAAACTAATACTACTTTACATAATCTCAACTTTGATTTAACATGTTACCTGATGATTCCACTTCTTCATTTTTTATTTTTAACCAATATTTTGATCACTTCACTACGGAACTTGAACACTACTAATCGATTGAAACAATAGTCTAATTGTGCACGCTAACCTACATCTAGTTTACCAGGACAGAGTACAGAACACTGGGAAATTGGAAAAAGAAGTTTAACAGATAAATGGAAGTAAACCTTCTCAATATCTTGCTTAAACGTTTCAAAAACCTCATTGCTCTTCAGCAAAGCTTCCTGCAAGAATAGCACAGAAGAATTATTTTTTAAGTTTTATGTTCCAACTTTTCATGACACTAAAACCACAAGCAGCTAGTTTAGAAACATAACATGAGATAAAACAAAAGATCCTTCCCATCCTGATTTTGAATTATTGCTTTGTCCCATTATTGCAGTAATTTGATACCTCTAAGAAGAACCATGTAAATAAGCATTACAACAAAGCTCCTGCTTTATCAAGCACTAGGCAAGTGCATATTACCTTGCTCTGACCTTGTGTTTGAAATGGTGAAAAGAGGAAGCCTAAGAGGACTGGAACTAAACAAGTGTTTTTTCCTTTGGGTGGGTAGCGGGGAGGGGAGGTGTGATAATGGTATTTCACCATAATTTGGTTAATAAGTAAAATAGCAGGTCACTGAAACTCGTGGAATGAAAGACTCGACGAATGCACACAACAGGATTCAGGATTGACAAACGAACATTAAAGGGAAAACTTTAAAATGCAATTTTCACACAAGTTTTCTCCTAAAATAAACAAGAGCAAATAGTTTTTAATCCCCAAAGATGATTGTCATTCGTAGATTCAACTTGCTTTTGCTTTGATACGTCATCTGTTCATAGGACAGACAGCAGAACTCTACAGTCATACACTGTGACAGACTGGAATCATACCACTACTTTTAGTCCATGCTAAGCCATCGTAAGCCCCCAACATTTATTCATTAGAACCAAAGTTTTGTGAGGGAAGAGTAAAAACCCATTAGCAAATCCAACAGAAAAAAGGAATTCAGCAAAGAGGCATAGGGATGGGAAAGGGACAGCATGGAGATCCTTGAGGTTTGTGGCAAAGGCACAGCCTATTGTGCTACCATCTAGCCTCACTTAAGCGGCTTCAAGATGAATGTGGAAATAGTAAAAAAAAAATCTTCTTCAGGTTTATTACCTATGATCAATTGGCTATCAGAAGTCAAGAAGGCATTTCATTCAAAATTTTCTATTAATTTCTTGTCTATAATAATATTACCAAATCGGGTTAGTTTTTTCATGCATTTCAACTCCTCTAAACAAGTCTAAAATGCTTGATAGAAAAGGACAACCATTTCCCAATAAGTTGCTCCCTTTGTCCCAATTTATTTGGCATAGTTTGATAGGATGCAGTGTTGTAAGAAAGTAAGAAAGACTTCTGACATATAAACTACATATTTTATTAAATGGCAGAACTACCATTATACTGAACAATTTGTTTTGTATCCTGTGGGGACAACAAGAAGCCATGTCAATTGCAATGGGAATGTAAAAATTATCTAGTCTCAAAGTAGAGAAAGAACTGATCTTTCTCCAACAGATAAAAGAGGAAAAGTTCCCAGTAGTACAGGGAGAGTACTAAACAAAACAGAAAGGAAAAAGTCCCGAAGTGAAAGCTACCTAAAATCCTTAACTTTCAACTCCACCAAAACAAAGGAAGCAATGATCCTGGGCATACCATCCAATCACATTAGACAAAATAAAGGACCACTTCTCTGATCCAAATATCAGAAGTGCTATTCACTAACGTGTGCAGTTCTCTGGTATCATATCTACTCTTATACTAAAAGGTTGTGAATTCCACTTGAGAGGTAAGATAACTAGGAATGAAAACTTGTGGTGATGACATAAAGAAGATATTAGATTGCTTCAAGTTTCTTGAACTTCTTTATATTTTGTCACCTATACAATTCACCAAGATCAATATCTAAAGCTAATGATCTAAGCAATTCAACCAGAGATATGTGATCATTCGCCTTATCAAAAACCTCTTTATAGAGAGGCAAAATCTTTGAGGCAGTACAAATTATCTTGAAGAATTCCTATACCAATAGAAACTGCAAACCAATATCACAAGCACAAACTTCGTGAAAGTTATCTCACAACTGTATGTTTGGTGTAGTGACTTTCAGTTTGACACATCATAGTATTGTAAGTAAGACTAACAGGCTAACCTGGAACTGCTGGAACTTTTCTCCATCGGCTGTCAATTGCAACCGCAAGTTCTTCTCCGTTGCCAGTAATTGTGACACTTGGTCAGCATAAATTTTCATTTGGGACTGTTCCTGCTGTGATTTCTCCTCGTGTTGCTTAATTTTCAAATCAGCAAGCTGAAGTTCAAGACTCTTTTGCTTCATCTGCAAAGAGAAAGATATTCATCAGGCCCTTAATCAAAAAGGAAAAGCCTTGGAGAAAAATATTAAAATCCACAAAGATGTTTTATGATCTCAATAATACTAGGAAATTGAATAAGAGCAAATGTGAATCACCTTGTTTGCAAATTGCTGTTCAGAGAGAGTATACTGATCTGCAAGTTGATTCAACTTGCTCTTTAACCTGCAGTTATTAAAGGAAAACAAAAGTATTCAAAAGCTAATCTTAAAATGAACTTGCACTAAAATGACCCCAATTTTATGTTCAAGCAATTCATAAAAAATGGTTAATTTCCACAACTAATCCCAACTAACAGCAAAATTCTTGCCAGAAAGTATCACAGGCCAGTCCAAAGGAGGGTGGCGATGGAATATATATGAATAAAGCAGGATAAAAGCACCTTGTTTTGACAGGGAAATCTCATTAGACTTGAGAAGCCAACTCATGACAGAACATCAGATGGCATTCACAAAAGGCAGACAGATCATGGATGCTAACCTTATTGCTAGCAAATGTGTAGATACTAGACTTAGAGGGGCTGACTCTAGAGTTATGTGCAAGCTAGACATTGAAAAGGCATATGATCATGTCAATTGGAATTTTTGCTCAATATGTTAAAACAAATGGGGTTTGGGGAGAGATGGTTGAGATGGATTGAGGTATGTATAAAAACTATTAGGTTCTCCATTCTGATAAATGGAGAACCTACTGGTTTTTTTCCCTCAGGGAGACCCTTTGTCCCCTTTCCTTTTTATCATAGCATGGAAGGATTCGATAGTATGATGAGGGTGACTACGCAAAACTCATTGTTGCAAGGATTAAAAGTAGGCAGTTTCTCAGGGGTCGATATGCAGATTTGTCACTTGCTTTATGCTGACGACACTGTCATATTTTGTGAAGCTAAGGAGGAACAAATTAGAATTGTCAGAATGATATTGGTAGTCTTTGAGGCGGTCTCAGGCTTGGCAGTCAATTGGAGGAAGAATTGTATATATCTCATCAAAGAGGTTACACAGATCCAGGCCTTAACAAACATTTTGGGGTGCAGAATTGAAAAACTCCCAACTGTTTACCTAGGTATGCCACTTGGAAACAACCATAAAGAGCTAGTGATATGGGATGGTATAATTGAAAAAACTGAGAAGAAGCTTGCAAATTGGAAATCTCAATATCTATCCTTCTTTGGGAGAACCATTCTGATAAACTTTGTACTAGACTCCTTACCTACCAATGTGATGTCCCTATTCCCTATGCTGGCCAAAGTGGAAGAAAGACTTGATAAATTAAGGAGGGACTTTCTTTGGTTGGGAATCAAGGAAGGTAAAAGAATACATCTTGTCAAATGGCAAACTGTTTTGCTAAGTAGAAGCTCAGGGGGGTTAGGGATCAGAAACTTGGGGGTACAAAACAAGTGCTTGTTGGCAAAATGGTTGTGGAGGTTCGGAAGAGAGGATCAAGCACTTTGGAAGGAAGTTATTAGTAACAAGTACGGCCAGAATAGCCCATGGGTTTTCGATATGGTGAATATCCCGTATGGTGTCTCGGTGTGGAGAACTATCAGAAATTTATGGAGTCAACTACAACACAATATTAGATACAAAGAGGGGAATGGGACCAAGGTTCTTTTTTGGAAATATCACTGGATTTGTCAGGACTCCTTGATGTCTTCCTATCCAGATATATATATCCTCAGCACTTCTCCAGATGCAATGGTAAATGAGGTATGGTCTGAACAAGGGTGGAGTTTCAGCTTCAGAAGGTTACTAAATGACTGGGAGATAGGGAGAGTAGTCGAGATGCTACAAACACTAGATGATTTCAAGGGCACAAATCTGGAAGTTGATGTAATGATTTGGAAACACAATTATGATGGTATGTTGTCAGTCAGTAGATTGTACAATAGGAAAGTGAAGGAACTTCCCGGGGAAATCTCTGGACCATGTAGTAAGGTATGGAAAAATAAAGTGCCAACTAAAGTGAGGTGTTTCTCATGGCTAGTGGCTAAAAGGGCATGCCTAACTCATGCGAAGCTACAAAGAAGAGGCTTTGAAATAGCTTCCTGGTGTTTACTGTAATGAGACAAATGAGACTAATAGCCATCTATTCCTCTATTGCAAAGTCACTACTCAATTATGGGCTAGTTTTCTAAGCAAGATACACAAACTGGACAATGCCAGAACATATTGCAGATCTTCATAGTTGTTGGGTGAGAAGAGGGGGGAGTACGAGCCAGAAGAAATGGTGGAGCATGATACCCTCTTGTATATGGTGGACTATTTGGAGAGAAAGAAACAAGAGGTGTATGGAAAATACTGTAGAATCAGTGCAAAAGATCAAATGGCGTTGTATGAAGACTTTCTGTTTTTGGTGTAAAGAGGAGAGTATAGAGGATGCTGGACAGATTTTAAATTTTCTCTTCTTTATAAGTTTAGTAGCAATTTCTTGAGTTGGTCTTTTTTGGGTCACTGATGTAAATCTTTTTGATGGTTGCCAGCGTACCCTCATTGCTGAGGAATACAATTTTACCTTTATCAAAAAGAAAAAAAAAAAATGAGATAAGCGCTAGTTAGGGTTTTTTCAAAAATTTCTGTTAGTTTTTTTCTTTAATTTTTTTAGTATACTTGGGCAACATCTTTCCAATTATTTTCCCTCTTTGAGGGACTGCTGCTCCACTCTATAGGTTAATTCTCTTCTTCTCTTTGGTCGACTGCTGCTCTGTTTTTTTCTCTTCTCTTTGGTCACTGCTGCTCTGTTTTTTTCTTTTTTTTGTTTTGCTGGTTGCTGCTATGTTTTGTCTCTATATTTTTTTTCCTTTGTTTTATTGTTGTTCTGTGACCGAGTTACTGTTGCTCTGTTTGTAATAGTATCCTCTGGTCTTCATTCTTTTTTTGTTTTGCTCGTTGCTGCTCTGTTCTGTCTCTATATTTCTTTTCCTTAGTTTTTTTGCTACTCTGTTACTGAGTTTTTTTTTTTGAACATTGGTAAAGTTGTATTCTTCAGCATTAAGGAAATGCTGGCCACCTTCAAAAATTACAGCCCTAACCAAAATTACAAGCTCCCTATTAATTCTATAATTTGATCTACATCTTCTATACAGAGCTGTTTACACCAAAAAAGTAAAGATACCCAACAATTCCATTTTACTTTGTGAATGGAATTAGATTTATCTTCAAAACATCTCCCATTTCTTTCCTTCCACACTGACCACCATATGCATGATGGTATTAGCTTCCACCACTTCTTTTGAGTCTTGCTACCCCCCCTTCTGATCCAACATTTAAAAAGATCAGAGGTGTGTTCTGGCATATAGCATGTGATGTTGAGGAACATCTCCCAGATCTGTGTAGTGAATTTGCAATGTAAAAATAGGTGTTTGTTTGTTTCCCCAGTCAAATTGCATAGGAAATACCTAGGGACTAGTTGCTTTCCTTTCTTCTGCAGCACTTCTTGAGTTAAGCAGGCTCTTTTGATGACTAACCAAGTGAAGCATTTCACTTTAGTGGGGATCAGTCCTCTCCAAACTCTTCCAGTGATGATGGTAGCCTCTAACCCCAACTTGTATGCCTTTCTTGTAAGCACTGTTTACTGTGAATTTGCCATCCTTGTTGTGCTTCCAAATAACTCTATCTGGTGCATTGTTACTAGATTGGTTCCCCCCAATTTTCCCAGGAAAGAAGCCACTCTATCTACTTCCCAATCATTCAATAGCCTTCTGAAAGATCGGTCCCAGCATTGAGTTGTCCAGCATTCACATACTCTGGCTTTAGGATTGTTGCAGATTGAGAAAAGATCTGGGAATGACTCACTTAGAGGAATTTGATCAATCCATCCATCTCTCCAAAACTTGATCTTGTTGCCATTTCCAACTTTGAGAAACACATTTTCTTCCATAGAGTTCCATAAAGCTCTGATTGTCCTCCATACTCCCCATCCATAGGGTTCTGACACTATCTCTGTACACCATGGGTTCAATTCCCCATACTTTGCCACTATCACCTCCTTCCATAGGGTTCCTTCCTCACTAGTATATCTCCACAACCACTTCATCAAAAGGCTCTTGTTTTGGATTCTCAAATTTCTAATACCCAATCCCCTTCTTTCTTTGCTTAGCATCACAGTGTTCCATTTCACTAAATAGTAACCCTTGCCTTCTCACTCTTTGCCTTTTTTCCAGAGGAAGTTTCTTCTCAGTCTGTCCAGCTTTTTGATAACTATTGGAGGAATTGGAAATAACGACATAACATAAGTAGGCAATGAATCTAAAACAGAGTTTATCAAGATCACTCTACCCCCCAAGGATAGATATTGAGCCTTCCATCTTGATAAATTTTTTTCTGCTTTTTCCAGAATTCCATCCCATATCCCCAAAGCTTTATGTTTGTTCCCTAGTGGCATTCCCAAGTATGTTGTCGGTAATTTCTCTACTTTACACCCTAGAATGCTTGCCAATCCTTGAATCTGAGGCACCTCCTTGACTGCAATCAAGCTGCTTTTCCCCCAATTAACCCTTAGCCCTGATACTGCTTCAAATAAGATCAGAATCAATCTAATGTAGTTCAGCTGTTCGGCTTCTGGCTCGCAAAGAATGGTAGTATCATCTGCGTATAGCAAATGGCTAATCTCCTTTCCATTCCCTATTCTGTCTCCTATTTGGAAACTCTTGATCCACCTGTTCTGTGTAGCTATTCTCATCATACTGTCAAAACCTTCCATTGCTAGAATAAAAAGAAAAGGTAGCAGTGGATCACCTTGTCGCAGCCCCCTTTCTGATGCAAAGAAGTCAACAGGTTCACCATTTACTGGTATTGAGAACCTGACTGTTTTAATGCACACTTCTATCCATTTTAGCCACTTACTGCCAAAGCCCATTTGTCTCAAAACATTCAATAAAAATGCCCAATTTACATTACCAAAGCAAATTAAACTTCTTTCCCCCGAGCAGCAACTGAAAGAGAAAATACCGGTTTATTCATCTGCACCGGAAAAGAGCGGTCATATGCTTTCTGGATGTCTAACTTGCATAATAAACCCGCAACACCACCTTTCATCCTTGAATCTATGCACTCACTAGCTATCAATGCAGCATCCATGATCTGTCTCCCTTTTATGAAAGCCATCTGATTTTTATTGACCAATTTGCTCACCACCCTCTTAAGTCTTTCTGCCAGTAATTTAGCAATGATTTTGTAGACCCCTCCTATCAGACTGATTGGCCTATAATCTTTTAATTCTGAAGATCCAGCCTTTTTAGGAATTAGAGCAATGAATGTTGCATTGAAACTTTTCTCAAAATTCTGATTGGAGTGGAAATGTGATAGAGTGTTAATTATGTCCTTCTTCAAAACCTCCCAAAAAGTCTCGAAGAAAATCATTGGTAAGCCATCCGGTCCAGGAGCCTTCTCCTTAGCACACATCCTAATACTTTCTAGGATTTCTTCTTCCTCAAAAGGTCTTTGCAACCATACTTGTTCCTCTCCAGTTATCATATTAACATCTTGAATGTTCAGATCAGGCCTCCAGTGTTCAGTTTCCTTGTATAAATTTATGTAGAAATTTTGGACAGCCTCCTTGATCATAGCTGGATCTTTCACAATGTTACCTTCTATATCAAGTTGTTCCATAGTATTGAACCTCTTATGAGAGGTGGCGATTCTGTGGAAAAAATTTGTATTCTTGTCTCCATGTTTCAACCATTGTACCCTGGATATTTGTTTCCATGTTTCAACCATTGTACTCTGTTACTGAGTTACTCTTCTATTTTGCTTGTAGTAAGTTGTATTTTCTTATTCAATGTCACAATGAAGAATAGGAGTTTGATCCTTTGTGATTTGGCCATGTATTTGCTTTATATGTTATAACTTGTGAGGAGTATTGACTACCAATTTACCTTTTAATCTAGAAATATGTTACCTCTATTTAGTTATTTAATATTTTTTATTTTTATACTAAATACCGCTTTATTTGAAAAAAGTTTGTGCTTCGCTTCAGACTTCTCGCTTCTGTGAAGCAAGCCCGTGTCACTTTTTCCCGCTTCTCGCTTCCCAAAACATTGGTTATGGTGCTAGGGACAAGGTGTTCAGGATCGCTTGGTTACGCAGGCTAAAGATAATACTAAAAAAGATAGGGTCGAATGGGAGAAGATTGATGATGCTCAATTGTGTAGTCTGTTATGGAAATCTATTGATTCAAATTTGATGCCATTGTTTCGACCATTCCAAACTTGCTTCTTAGTTTGGGAAAAGGCTTGTGAGCTATACAGTATACACAAATGACATATCCCGCTTTCATAATGTGATTTCTCAGTTGACTTAGACTTAAAAAGCAGGACTTGGATATGTCGACGTTTGGTTGTGGAAGACGAACCAGGTTAATCCAAAGATCCTCACTCCCACGACTGTCCTATCCCTCCAAATATGTGCGTCAATCCATCCAATCTTTAAATGATTGCCTTACATGGCTATCCACAAACTTCCAACGGTTTCTTTTAAATTTTAAGTTTTGAATTACAAGTCATCCTCCAAATCCACTAAATATGGCATCTAAATTGATTAAATGCTCTCAAAATGCCTTAGTTACAACCCGTCCTAATCCCTTTATGATCAAATCATCCATAATTTCTATCAGACAATCTAATACTATTCTAATTCCCCATCCATGTCGAGCCATATGCTTTATTCTGCACCATTCTTTTTATGGTGTGCCTCATATTTATCATTGCAGGATATAACCAAAAACATGACATTAAAGGGTTACTACAACATGATAAATAAATACTGAAATCTTACATCTCATTCTCCTTCAACTGCAATAGACATTCATCTTTTTGCTCTTCCAGCTTGTTGCTTACGTCCTAAGTAGGAAGAAAATGAGGAAAGAACTGTTATGCTACAATTCAAGCTGATCCACCCTTAAGAGGCAAAAAACAAACATATTACGAATTTCAGTTTCAAGAAGTGTATATTTTCCAAAGCCATGCTAATCATACAAAGGTCAATCCTTGTTTATGAAATGAGCTAACAGCCTTTATCTTTGTGTTCCCTAATTTCTTTTTCTTCCTTGTTTTAGGATTCAGTGTACGGGTAGGAAGCATGGCGTTGGTAAAGAAACAAATGTTTTTTTATTCAAGGAGGGATAAACAATACAAGACATTGTCAGTATGCAGCACAACATTACTCCAAGAAAGATCAGAACAGAATAACGAAGAGAATGAGGCTCTGTGCACAAAGATAACCAAAACTCAGATGTTTGCACAATGCTCATGATGTCACCTTCTTCTTTTTTTGTGAAGTAATTGGTTTCACTGCTAGCATCAAGGAGACGCCTAATAGTTACAAAAGTAGTAGCTTAGCAAAAAGGACTCATGATGTCACTTCTTAACTAGTCAGCGTAATAACAATGAAGAGAGAAATACTATGACAAACATCAAACGTAAATTGGCAAAAACATCTAAAAGAAAAACGAAGTGTTTACACAAAGCTAAGCAATAATTTCCATCAGCAAGCAGTGGTGGCGCATTTGCATGTTCTTGTGAAGATGATTATTAGTTTACAATATAAGATTTTTGCAAACTAGTACTCCCTTTGTTTCGATTTGTTTATTTGGTTTTGACTTGGCTCAACCACGGAGTTTAAAAAAGTAAAGAAAACTTTTGAATCTTGTGATCTTAAGCTAAAGATATGTAGAATGTACTAAAATGTCCTCTAATCTTGTGGTCTTAAACATGTCACATGGAAAGTTAGAATTAAAGAGTTGTCAAAAAAGAAACATTCCTTTGAATGACTACAAAGTAAGAGGGTGTTTCGATTTGCTTAAAAGTTGGTCAAACCTACTTTTAAGTCAGTTTTTGACTTCTGGAAGAGTTTGACACACAAAAAATAACTTAAAATAAGTTAGGAAGTGTTTGACAAGGTAAAAAATGACTTAAATAAGTTTAAAATGACTTAAAATAAGTCAAAAATCAAAAGTAGGTCTCCCCCTACTTTTTATTTTTGACTTGAAATTCATTTAAGTTTGACTTTTTATGACTTAAAAGCAACTTTTTTTAAGCCAATCCAAATGGTCTCTAAGACAAACAAATTGAAACGGGATTCAAAGAATACTTTTGACTAAATTTAGATAATGGTTAAAAAGTCAAATACAACTTTATTCTTGAAAAAATTGTGGGATCATGAAGGCAGTTTGGGGAAAAGCATTTAAGAGAGGCCAAGGTAGTAAGTTAACCTAGAGTAGCTAGGTGGAGAAGTAAAATCAATCCTTGTTCATACATAAGAGCTGAGCTTTATTAATAGGCTAGGTAACTATATCAATCAAAAACGGAAACCTGGCCTATAAAACCACTGCTCACTGCTCCCCTCCCCCTCCCCCTCCCGCCACCAACCCACAAAAAAACAATGATATAGAACACCAAAGTGAAGGGCTTGTGACCTCAAAGTCTCAAACTGTTCATCAAGACTTGGTAGAAAAGAACATGACACCCAAGCCATTCTATACAGTGTCATCAAGGAGAAAACACGTTAAACTGCAAGAACAACTAATTTAATTTTTAAGTAAAAATCATGTTGATCAAGTTTAAACAAACATTTAGGATTTCTGATTCGTAAATTAAAACATAATTTCAAATTTCCGTTTCAGATTTAGTGACTAGGTTTTATATACCATCTAATCAATTCCTACACTAACAGATGCATCCATGACATCATCTTAATGATTAATAATTTAATATAGTGTTTCCCATCTATATATCATATGTGATGCCACCAAATTCAGATAAGAGTGCTGGCCTCATAATTTAATATAGTTTTGTTTTTAAACAGTAGTTAGGTCCATGCATTAGCTTCTTGTGCCTGCACTTAAGTGCTGCATAAGCAAAGTAAGGCTACCAACCTATGCTGCACTCAACTTCACTTTTTAAGTGAGTCACAAAAATGCCTTTAAGGCATTAAAGAATATAATTCTACAATTAGATTAGCACTTTTCGGTCATCAAAAAAAAAAAAAAAAGATTACCACTTCAACTGAAAACTCAGCAGGAATTCACAACTAGGTTAGTGATGCTACTATCTAAGAAGTTTAACCTTCTTAATCATGATAGTTCATCACTATTTGCGAGAAAACACATGTCAAGTAGTCAAAATCCAGGTGCAAGAAGGTAGAACTGCTTATCACTTCCCCTACATCAACACACCTTTTTTCCCACCTGGTCCCAAAAGATTGTTCAATCAGATCAAGTATAGGATGTCAACGCCCGCATGCACAACAAAATCAAGGCAACCTATTGGACTGGGCATGTCACCATTCTAAACCCTAAATAAGGTGGACCTGGCAAAAGAGAAAGCCAAGCACTAGCCTCAAACTATTTGCTCGGCAAGGTCAGAAAACTATTCAGAGTGATGACCTTACGCTAAATGAAACTTTGTTTTTGAGAAAAGGTAACTTGTATTATAAACAAAGGAATACGCAGGACGTATTCCAGTAATACTTACAATCAGAAATATAGAAGTGTTGCTCTTTTCCTATGAACTCCTTAAAAAGTCTAAGATACTAGGGGTATCCTCCTGTTCATGAGGATATTCATGTTTAAACCAAAAATAGAAAAGAGCTAAACAATTCAGCTTCATCTTCTCCATAGAGCAGCTCTTGTTCTCAAAACAACTCTGATTCCTTTCCAACCAAATAGTCCACCAAATGAAGGCTGGGACAATCTTCCATCTCTCCCTGTGTACCGACTGATTTCCACTAAATGAAACTTTTAACACCCTAAATACCTGGACAAATGGTTTCCTTGATGCACCTGCATTCAGGCAGTCAGGCAGCATACCCAATTCCACATGGAGAATATTAGCACTCAGAGAGAGCATCTGCTACATTCTGCAATGGAGTTGGAAATTATGGGCGTATGGACACTCGTCAAACTAGTGTGTCCAGTATGAGTAGAGCCGGATTGACGACACAACCCTACTAAAAAGGAGAAATTATACAGGTAGGGTCGGAATGATGGCACGGCCTTACGCAAATCAGATTTGAGGAGTCATTAAAAAGACGAATGGAACTACGCAAATCAAATTTGAGGAGTCACCGGAAAGGCACACGATGCTATGCAACACAGTTATGAGAAAGTAGTTCGAAAAAATCAACGGTACCGCACATTAAATATGAGAAGTAGCTCATGGAGATGTACGGTGCTATGCAAATCAAATATGAGAAAGTAGTCATTGAAAAGATGCACGGTGCTACGCAATTTGAGAGTACTATGCAAATCGAATATAAGAAAGTAGTCACCGAGAAAAAATGGCGTGAGATACTACCCAAATTAGATATGAGAAAATAGTCACCGAAAAGATACACGGTGACCGAACTTTTGCTAACATAATTTTTTTGATGAAGAACTTTTGCTAACATAATTATTGGTCAGACGGGCGGCATATATACGTAATAGCCACACTGGAAGTTCTTTTATTCTTTACACAAGATCATAGAGGCTCTGATACCATATGAGAAATATGAGAGAAGAATATTATTGAATTGTGTATCTACATATTTACATAGAGACCTTATTTACAGTCACTACAATACATTCCTTGACAAGTAAGGAAACTATATATTATATTCCTATTTCTATTCCTACTACTATTCCTAGTCCTATTCTAAGTAGGATTGTATATACATATTTCTATTCTAACAAGAGGGAAAGAAAGTCAAATGGAATGGGGTGTTTCTTCATTAGTTATCATGTGAGTGAGATGAAAAGAAAGAAATGGGGGAGCATTGGAAGAAGTTGTCTAGGATTTTGTAATTTTGCAAAGTAGCCTCTTGTTTTTAGTTTCTTTTGGCGTACCCATGAGGTTCCCATTTATATGGAGAACATTGAGTTTCTTTGTTGGAGAACCATATTTTGGTATAGGTTCTCCACTTTATGGCATACAGCTTGTAGGTTTCCCCTTCATTAATAAAATTATTTACCTTATCAAAAAAATATAGTTATAGATTTGCAGAAATTTTGGTGTTAGACATTATGTTGGCTTAGGCGGTGCTATGTTGACATTTGATATCTGACAGTATCTTGGATGTTTTATTAGTACTTATGGTTTGTGGAATGTGTGTTTTGGTTTAAAGTTATCTTTTGCAATTGTGTCCAATTCGTAATCTCCACCTAACTTTGAAAGTTTAATATGTGTTCCCATATACATGTCTAATACAACTCCTGTATCTGTATCTGCATCGATTCAACTTAGAGATGCACTACGGGAGGTTAAATGCAAAATTTTGCATGAATATTTGATTTTATATCAAAGATCTAGTCGCATTTTCAGCTTATCCTATCATAATTGTCTTCTTTTCACATGAAAGAAAAGCTATGATGGTACCTAGTAGTTAAGCCAGCTGGAGGCAGACGAAGAACATTAGAAGAGGAACTATGTGACAAGCAGAACAATAGAACCTTCATCAAACAATACAGGAAGACTCTGTAAGAGAAACCTAACATCTCCTACCAAGCCAAAAACACAAAGTTAGAGGAAATTGCCTGACGATGATAGATAAAAGACAAGGCCTTTTCAACCTTTTACTCTGTGTGTTTCTAGGGAAATCCTTAAAACATACAAAATTTACTCAGATTTTCTTCATTGGTGTCCACAAATTACACAAAATAATATAATGCATAGGATAAGGCTAAGAGCAAATGACCACTGTCGACTTGAAAGCGAAGGACACATCTACAAATACTTGCCAACCCTTCAGAAGATCTCAGAACAGTAAAATTTTCAGACCTTAATTGCATCTTGAAACTTGTTCGAAAGATCCAGCCTCAGATTTTGACCCTCGGATGACACCCGTTTGCATTCTTCCTGCAAATTACAGAAAACAGACAACTTAAAGTCATAGAAACTTATAATCAAGGGCAATACACAGAAACAACATAAACTGGAGAGTAACAAAATATTATTAATTGATCACCTATATCGAAGCAAAAAGTGTAAAAAGACAATATAGCAATAGCCTGGTATGTAAAGTAGGTGGCATAGCAATGAAACATATAAACAACCAATAAGCACGCCTCACGAAAAGCCATGACTTTATCCCAGAATAAATGGCACGATAATACAACTGCCACTCTACTTGACACAGATTTTATCCATCAAAGTATGAAAATTGAGAAAAAGGACATCCTTATGGAAAAAGGGAGTTATAATGAGCATTTAAGAATTTCAAAATGTAAATGATAACAACCTTGAGAACTGGAAATCAAACAAGTTACAAACTTTGAAAAAAAAAGTATGAAAAAAGGACTGGCCATCTCTAATGTCATCTAATAATTAAATGATGATAATCTAGATAACAGTCAATTAGCGCACTTACTGTTAAATGAAAATTGGGGACACTAACTATGACAAGAAGAGAGACGATCAATTAATGACAATAACCCTGTTGAACTATATTTATCATCTCAACCTAATTCAGGAAAGCAGTCTGACATTGGGCTGTATAGTTACTAGTATTCACTGTTACAAATAACAACTTGGAAAATCTCTTTGGACTTGGGCTTCTAGACAGCAAGTTGTTAAGGAGAAAAAAGGTAACAGAGACTTTAAGATGACGAACTAATGTCAGAGTATGTGCCAAAGGAATTGTATATGCCAAGTAAAAGAGCAAGTCATTGATGCTCTTGGCAATTACTAAATTACTAGAACTAAGATCCACCAAGTAAATGGTGTATAGACATCTAAGAAGAGATTCCTCTTGTACTACTAAGGCTGGACGTGAGGTTTGGGTGCAGCAATTCCTCGCCTAAGAATATACAGAAACTTTATTAAATATGCAATAGACCTTACCATTAATACTTTGTTTTGGCGCTGCAACTCACGGCACAATGACTCCAATTTATCCCGAACAGCAATAGCTGAATTAAACGAACGAAAGATGTGAGTAGTTCTTATGCCAGTTCATAAGCAGGCGCCTTGGTGGGATGGTTTTGCCTCCAACAAGGTACATGTTCTTCAAAACATATTCACTTTAGAGCACCAAACAAGCCTCCCAAATGTGAAATAAACCATAAATTGTGAAACCAAGAAAAAAAGGATTTCTATTGAATTGCAAAATAGAAAAAACTTTTAGTCTACAGACTATGTATCTGCATGATAGCTAAATTAAACGAACGAAAGAATCAATTATGCTCCCTGTGTTACCTCTGTGGTGAACAGGCAGAGACAATTAGCCATTTTTAATTACATTGTAAATGGGCAGATCAACTGTAGAAAATCTTTATCAACCTAAGGTAAAATAGATTAATAATGCCAAGAAGCATTAAAGATGTCTTAAAATGCTGGAATAGAGATGGAAATTCAGCCAAGAAGGAGGAGAGATGGAAAATTGTCACGGATTGTATTTGGTGGTCTATTTGGGCAGAAAGGAACCAGATATTTTTCGAGAATTAGCAATCCATTCCATCACCTTTCTGGGCATAGTTGATCTTCTCATCATCCTACGATTCCTTCTTCCCATTAATACCATTCAGAATTCCCAGATGCCATCAAGTGATATTGAATGACTTCAAGCCAGCATTAAAATATATTATATTCTCCTTCATTCTTGGTCTGATATGGTACTTCACAAAAACTGGTTAAGAAAAGGAAAGGTGGCTGTCACAGAAGGTGACAGCTAGGTGAAGAAGAAAGATGGGTACAATCTCTGGGAAATTTCACCGGAGAAGGATGATTCCCCTACTAGGAAGTAGGAGAGAGAAATGTCGCGGGGGATGTGCTTGGGAGCTTTTTTTATGCTTTGATATATTGTAATGCTGCTTCTTATTAAAAGAGTACTGCAACATTAATAACTACTCCTAGTGATGTGCTTAATTACATTCACAATTTCACATATATAATTCTGGTCATTCATACCTTTGTTGCTATCAAATTTCTTTGTAAACAGAATGGGTTGGGGAGAGAGAGGCTTAAGATAAGGAGACCCTCTGTCCCCTTTCCTCTCTATCTTGGCTATGGAAGGTCTGGACAGTTTAATGAGAGTTGCTACTCAGAATAAATGGATAAGGGGCTTCTCCATCAAAACAGGGTGAATGATACAATGGAACTGATACATTTATTGTATGCAGATGACACAGTGGTATTCTGTGAAGCAGAGCAGGAACAAATTTGCTACTAAAGAGTGATCTTGGTGGTTTTTGAAGCTTGCTCGGGACTCAAAGTTAATTCATTCAAGAGTAATATTTTTCCAATAAAGGAGGTGCAACAGATTGCGACTCTGGCAAATATTTGAAGTGCAAGACAGAAGAGTTGCCTACAGTCTACCTAGGCATGCCTTTGGGCTCCAACCACAAAGCAGGAAAAATTTGGGATGGCAAAATTGAGAAATCTGAGAAGAAATTGGCTATATGGAAGTCTCAATATTTATCTCTAGGAGGAAAAGTTAAACTAATCAACTCAGTATTGGATTATCCCTTTTTGGAGGTAGCCAGCATACCCTTAATCCTGAAGAATTCAACCTTACCAGTTTCAAAAAAAAAAATCAACTCAGTACTGGACTCTCTACCCACATATGTGATGTCCCTTTTCCCTATTCCTAGTAAGGTTGTCAAGTCTATAGATGCTCTAAGAAGAAATTTCCTTTGGGAACGAAATAAGATAGAAAAGGGCACTTGGTTAAATGGCCTAAAGCACAACAAAGTAGGAAAAGTGGGGGACTGGGAGTTAGGAACTTAAAGCTTCATAACAAGAGCCTACTTTCAAAATGGTTGTGGAGGTATGTTCAGGAAGAGTGGGCTTTGTGGAAAGAAATTTTTTTTTGGGTTTCCCACCCGGTGTCCGGTACCCACATTGGAGCCCAACTAAATCAGAACTCGCGCTGGGAAGTCCCACATTGAGCGGTAAAGCACTCCTAACAAAGGCGACTCCGCACCCAGGTCTGTGGAAAGAGTAAACACATCACAAATAGGGCAGCAGCATCACTGGTGTACTAGTGAAGTTATTGACACTTATGGTGTTAGGATGTGGAGGACCATCAGGAACTTATGGATGACTCTCAAAAGCAGCTTAAATATTATTGTGGGCAGAGGACATAAAACTAAGTTCTGGACAGATGATTGGTGTGGCAATGGGATTCTAAGGGACTTGTTCCCTGGTCTTCTCTCAATATGCACAAACCCTAATAGCAGGATAGAGGAGATGTGCTCTCCACAAGGTTGGAACCTAGTATTCAAAAGGATGTTTAATGATTGGGAGATTGATAGAGTGGTGGAGCTCGTGAGCTTTTGATTGGTGGATTACATGGAACTACTCTAGAGCCAGACAAATTAACATGGAGACATCACAATGATGGGATGTTTTCTGTGAACAGATTATAAAATTGGGGACTTAGAGGAAGTGCAGGAAGATCCACAAGACCTTGGCGTACAATATGGAAACAAGTGGCCCCTACCAAGGTGAAGTGCTTCACTTGGCTGGTTGCTAGGAAGAGTTGCCTGACTCGTGATGCAATGCAGAAGAGAGGCATCAACATAGCATCTAGACGCCTCCTTTGAAAAGAGGCTCTGGAGACTTAACAAGCACATATTCATGCACTGTAAGGTTACTGCTCAGGTGTGGGATCTGTTTACTAGCATAGTCAATGAATACTGGACTATGCCAGAACACACTTCTGACCTCTGAAGTTGTTGGATCAAAAGAGGAGGTCATAAGAGTCAGAAAAGAAGGTGGAAAACATTTCCAGCGTTCATCAGATGGCTTTCATCAAAGGGAGACAAATAATGGATGATGCTCTTATTGCTAGTGAATGCATTGACACCAGGATTAGAGGAGATGTGCCTGGAGTTATGTGCAAATTAGTTATTGAAAAGGCCTTTGACCACTTGAACTGGAGTTTCTTGTTGAACACTCTCAGGCAAATGGGATTCGGGAGAAGGTGGATTAAGTGGATAGAATTCTGTATCAAAACTACCAGGTTCTCCATTCTGATAATGGAGAACCTGCAGGTTCTTTTCCAGCTGAAAGAGGTCTCAGACAAGGGGATCCCTTGTCCCCTTTCCTGTTTCTTATAGCTATGGAAGGGCTAGGCAGTCTGAAGAGAAGGGCTGCAACAAACAACTGGATAAAAGGCTTCAGCATTATGAACAGGAACAATGAAATCCTGGAGGTGACTCACTAATTATATGCTGATGACACTCTGGTTTTCTGCGAAGCTGAACAAGAACAAATTTGCTACCTAAGGGTGATACTAGTGATCTTTGAAGCTTGCTCTGGGTTGAAGATTAACTGGAGGAAAGCAATATTTTTCCGGTGAAAGAAGTGCAGCAAATTCCGTCTCTGGCAGATATTTTGAGGTGCAGGATAGAGGAGTTGCCCACAATTTATTTGGGAATGTCATTGGGTGCTAATCACAAAGTTGTGAATATATGGGATGGAATAATAGAGAAAACAGAAAAAAGACTAGCACTTTGGAAATCACAATACCTTTCCCTGGGAGGTAGAGTTGTTTTGATCAATGCAGTCCTAGATTCTCTGCCAACATATGTAATGTCTTTATTTCCCATCCCCGGTGAGGTGGTGAAAATCTTAGACAAGTTGAGGAGGGATTTCTTATGGCAAGGAAGCAAGATTGAAAAAAGTTTCAACCTGGTAAAATGGAGCACAGTTCAGTAAAGCAAGAGTTTTGGAGGTCTAGGAGTAAGGAACCTAAAGCTTCATAATAAGAGTTTACTTATCAAATGGCTATGGAGATTTACTCAAGAAAATCAGTCCTTGTGAAGGGATATTATCCTTCATAAGTATGGTCCGGAGGGGTAGTGGTGCACTAATAAAGTGACTAATACATATGGGGTCGGGGTTTGGAAATCTATCAGGAATCTATAGATAACTCTCAAACTAAACACTAAAGTTAGAGTTGGTAGGGGAGACAAGATACTTTTTTGGGAAGAGGACTGGAGTGGTCATGGCACACTTCACTCCCTTTTTCCTGGATTGTTCTCAATAAGCTTGAATACTGGATGCAGTATACAAGAAATGTGGTCCCCTCAAGGGTGGAACCTGACTTTCAGAAGACCCCTAAATGATTGGGAAATACCATGGGTAGTAGATTTTCTAAACCTAATAGGAAACTTCCCGAGCACTAATACAGATTCAGACAAACTCATTTGGAGGCACCACAATGATGGAATTTCACTGTTAACAGAGTATACAAAAGGGGACTGAGTGTTGCTGCAGGCAGGTCAACTGGACCTTGGAATACTATATGGAAGAGTGTGGCTCCTAATAAAGTGAAATGCTTCACTTGGCTAGTAGCTAGGAAAGCATGCTTGACACATGAGGCATTGCAAAAAAAGGGGGTCCATCATAGCATCTAGATGCCTCCTCTGCAAGGAGGCACTAGAAACCAACAAACACCTTTTCATGCATTGCAAAGTAACGACACAAGTTTGGGGCTATGTTCACTTCCATTGCTGGAATCAACTGGATCATGCCTGAACATACTGCAGACTTGCTTAGCTGTTGGATCAGAAGAGGAGGAAGCAAAAGCCAAAAAAGATGGTGGAGGACAGTCCCAGCCTGCATCTGGTGGACCATTTGGAAGGAGAGGAACCAGAGGATCTTTGAAGGAAAAGAATCCTTTATTTTGAAGATTAAGTGGAAAGTTATTACTTCACTAGGTTTTTGGTGTAAAGACCAGAGTATAGAAGAGGAAATCCAACTAGTGGATTTTATAGGCTCTTTGTAAGTATCTCTCTTTTCTTTTTTGTAAACTTTTTAGAGGTGGCCAGCATAGCCTTAATGCTGAATGAATACAAAATCCAGCGTGTATTTGGTGGACTATATGGAAGGAAAGGAATCAAAGAATTTTTGAAGGAAAGGAGTGTACAATACAGAAGATCAAATGGAAAGTAATTACAATTCTAGGCTTTTGGTGTAAAGAATAGGATATAGAAGATATAGAAAAGGAGATCCAATTAGTGGACTTGATAGGATCTTTGTAAGTATTTTTGTATTTTTCCTTTCTTGTAATCCGCATAACCATTAATGCTTAGGAATACAAAAGGTTACCAGTTTCCAAAAAATAGAAAAGAATGGGTCGGGGATGAGTTAAAGGGTGGTTTTGTAAAGTCAATCGAGTATTTAAAATTGGGGATGGGTCATTTGTTTCTAAACTCGTCACATGTCTCTATCAAAAATAAGGGAAATTAGTATAAAAGTATAACTCGAGGGTATATTTGAACCTAAAGTATTACAGGAGGGTATATTTAGCTCAAAAGTATAACGAGAGGTATATTTAAACTATTCTAACAGTACAGGGGCATATTTGATGCTTTCCCATTTCTAGTTTCCTAGTCTTTTTAGTTAATCAACATCACTTCCGGGAAGTCACTTGAATAAAATAATTAGCATTAGTTTAATTTAAACAATAGTTGATAACAAGTTTTTGTGGGACAATAATTTCATCATTGTTGACCATGTATACTTGTGAGTGCATTTAGCCTCAACATGTGACATTAAAACCTGACAAATTATCATCGCTTGTGAAAAAAATATAAAATTATCCATATCCAGAGGAAATGGGGAAAACGAATTATGAAAGACAGGAAGCCTGAAACAGAAAAAATAGCAAAATTAGGATTATAACAGGACACCTGAATCTCTTTCTGCAAGAACCTGCTGATACTTCAAAGTGAATTCCAAAAACTCTTTTTCAGACTTAAAGGTACGTTTTACCGTCTTCCGTTTGGTTTCAGAGGCTTCCTAACACATGAATATAACCAAAAGAGTGAAGTTACAAAACATTCAGAAAAGAATGGAACCTGCATATAGCTTGATATAAGAAACAACATCCTAAAATTTGATAGCAAGAAAAGAAACAGAAAACACAAACCTCATTTTTTTTGTTAGTAATGGGGAAATAAAAAAGAAAAAGCAACAAAGAAGCACCCTATAGTGACACTAATACTTCTTTTTTTTATGACAAGGGAAACCCGCAGCCGCTACCCTTTGGATGCGCACAGGGTAAAACCCTCGCTCCTATGCAATAGCTCGCAAACCACATAGGAGAGGTAACCCGCACTAGGCAAGCCTGGTGCCTATAGTGACACTAATACTTGCAACATATTGAAATAGTAAGTATGTAATATAAGAGTAGTGAACATGATTACTATCTATAGTGACACTAATTATGCATGTTTAAGTAGTGAACTCTGGATTTTTGAAGGATTATTTGTATACTAAGATCTCATTTATAGCATCTCTTACTGCAGCATTTCTACATTCTCCAAGAACCATCTCTTGATTTCCTTCACTTGAGAATCGTTACATATTCTTTGATCAGTACTACGATAGATGATATTTGAGTTTGCTTTGTCAACGAATTTCTTAATTTTATTTGCAATATCAACCCATCCCACATCCTCCGTGATTACAGGAATGATCATGACGTCCTTCTTACCTTTGATAGAAACAATCCTAGCATACCTCAGAATGTTGAAGTTTTGAAAAATATAATAGGACAATGTAAGTTCTACAGTCCTCCATCTTCCGCATATTTTCCCTTTCGGATGCAAGTCTGAGGCACTTGCAAGACACTTAAGAATATTGAATCTTAAAAGTGATTCTACAAAGTTCTTACTCCTTTGAAGATATTCTTCTACCTGAATATAAGCAAGGATGCAGTAGGATCTTGATTCAAACATGCTTTAGATATCTCTTCTGTTTTTCATGCTGGAATGTGTTGATAGCAGCACCAGAGTGAGAGTTTGTACTACTTTTTTGTTTGACGATGGTATCCAAGTAAGTTTGTGCACTACTCGATTATTTCACCGGATACTTTCTACTTGCCACCAACACAGATACCGAATAACTCTATTCACCAACTTATGCCAATGTGAAGAAATTACCTCCAAAGTTTGTCTCCACACCTCCAACTTAGCGTTCACTCCATTGCGTGTCTCATCAATCAGGACTATGTCATTCGCAAATAACAAACACCATGGCACCTCATCTTGAATGTCTCACGTTAATACATCCATCACCAAGGCAAAACAAAATGGGCTAAGAGTTGACCCCTGGTGTAACCCCATCTCCACAGGAAAGTGCTCCAAGTCTCCTCCCACCATTCTTACCTTAGCTCTTTCATACATGTCCTTTATCTCCCTAATGTAGGCCACCGATACACCTCTTGTCGTCTAGCATCGCCACAAGACTTTATCAAATGCCTTCTCAAGGTTAATGGACACCATATATAAGTCCCTCTTTCTTTCCCGATATTTTTCATCCGTCTCCTCACAAGATGGATAGATTTTGTGGTCGATCTCCAGGGCATGAATCCAAATTGATTCTCAAAAATAGACACACCCCTTCTCACTCTTATCTTCACCACTTTCTCCCAAACTTTTATAGTGTGACTTAACAACTTAATACCCTTGTAGTTGTTGCAATTTTGTATATCAGCTTGGTTCTTGTACAACGGAACCATTGTACTCCACCTTCATTTCTCGCATATCTTAGCCACTCCAAACCTGCTCTATCCGTGCTCTTTGAGAACTCCATTGGGGTCTCATTTGGTCCTGCCGCTTTTTTGTTACCCATTCTACTAATAGCACGCTTCACTTCCTCAACCTTAATACGACTACAATACCTGAAATCCCAACAACTATCTATTTTTACATTGTACAGTCACTACTGACTTATGGAGTATGTTTTGTCTTAATTTGGTATGAATTGGGTAATGCCACATAGCACCAAAGAGGCCTTTGAATGCTGGTCCAATTGGAGAGTTGATAAGGTCATCAAGCCAATCTGGAAGATGATATCTACTAGTATCATTTGGTGTGTATGGTCAGAAGAGAACAACGGGTGTTTTGAAGGTTTATCAACTCCATATCACTCCCTTAGGGATAGCATTTGTATCTATATAGTTGGCATAATCTTTCACCCATATATTCTCCTGAGTACTTTTTGAACTTTGTTAGCTCGCTGGTAGTAGTTTAGTCTTTTTTGTAATTAAGCTAATGAAATTGTCATCTTCCTAACTTTTGTACTATTCTGCATCTTCTTGATGCCAGCAATGAAATTTCTTATTACTTCATCAAAAAATTTTAACACATACCTCCCTAAAACATTACTACCTATCCCTTAATTCATATGATTTAGTTTCTGCCAAGAGAAAGTTTTCCTTTCATTTCCATTTTGTGTTGATCACATAAACATGGTTAACTGATCAAAACAAATTACTGACACGGATTTCCTCTCATTGACATAACCTAAGCAAAAGTTACTTTGTAAATCAAATTGTGGTTCACAGAGTCCGTTGGCGCAGATTAGGACAGAAATGAAAGAAAGAACAACAGACCTGTAGAGAGTGGAAAGAAAGAACTGATGGAACTGGTCTACCATAAAAACTAAGAGGCATACAAAAGATTAAGCTGTAACATGGGGAAGAGAATTAATATAGCAGGAGAATCAATTTGTCAAAAAGGTGGTCACAAAAGAGGATAGAACTGGCAGTGCACATATCCCAAAACGAGAGAAATAGCCATTTTATTCCATGTTGTAAAAACCAAAGGATCCAATTTGAGAAATGAAGAGTCTACTATGTTTATGCAGAAACATGACTAGATTAGATCAAAAAGCAGGAAATTGATAGCTAACGAACATATATAACATAAGGAAATTGATATTGATGTTTACTGACTACTTTTTTGTTTTCAACACTCCCTGGTAATGATGTCTCCTTGAGAGCTGAATTAGTTTGGCTCGGGTCTCCTCCAGCTGCGGGAAAAGAAGTATTACTTAGAGCAGGCTGATTTTAAATAACCTAAGATGAAACAATGCTGCAAGTAGAAACATCATGAAGAAGTAAAGAGCTACATGCAAGCCTATAGCCATTCAGATATACAACCACAAAAGAAACTGCATCAGACATTTCTTTGAAGCAATGAACATCATGATTTAAAATGTTATCAGCCATTTTTCATTTCTAATGTATATCTCTTTGGAAGATAGAATTTACCACTTAACCTAACACTAATATGATCATATGAAGTTCAGGTCAGTTTACTTGACATATGAAAGGATAATTTCTGAAAAACATAACATGCTTTTGAAGCTCCAGCGTTTTATTATTCAAGCAAACGGAACAGCAAATGGTTTATTATCTTCCAATGTTTTTGAACTGCTTCTAAATGTTCCCTTCCAATTCTCCATTTCTGTCTTATCTCAACAAATTCCCATCCCATTAACTATATATATTGACAAACATGATCCATTTTAAAGTGAAGAATGGATTTAATGTTTCCATGTAACACTCTAATAACAGATAATGTAACTGTAAACGCAGAAAATAAGAGAGAAAGATACTTACAGTCCTCCATGTTGGGATGTAATTTCTTAGAGTTGGTATGGTGAGATGCATTTAAGTGGTGAGGTGGGGGTGGCAGTGGGTCAGTGGTTGAGCTGAAACCATCTGGCAACGATTCTGCCTCTGGAAGCTGATCTGCGGCAGGGTTCTCAGTTTCCATCTTGTTGAACACAAATACAGATTTTCAGAAAGGGGGTTTAATGGGGAAAACACACACAAATATGTTATGTTAAGAGTAAATGCCCTAGTAAGTGTCAGAGAGGAAGAGGAGAGGTCTGGCTACAACAGGGTTCAAGCTGACACTTATATTACTGATGATGATGATGATGACGATGACGATGACGATGACGATGACGACAAACACAAATGGCGGCTCCTTCCATTTATCTACCGGGTTTCGTCTTCAACATTTCACACTATTTTGATCGTGTTTTAAAGGGGGGGCGTCAGGCGGGGTTTACTCAGTGCCTCGAGACGTAAGGGTAGCCTATAGATCTTTCAATTTTTTATTTTAATTTATAATACAATATAATAACACAAAATTATAAAAATACATCAATACTTTAAAATAATTATAAACATGATTAAGAAAACTCATATGAAATAAAATTTCTAACATGATTATATAAATATAAATAATCTAATATCTTAACTTTCTATTAACAAGAAAATCATTATTTCTAAAAATATTTTTTTATCATACGATACAATTTACCCTCTAAAAGAAAATAATTAATAAAACTTACTAGTATTATAAAAAAAAAATACTCCATCGTGAATAAAAATAAAATTACTTTCAAATAGCTAAATAAAATATGATAATTTTGAGAAATAAGACAAAATCATGAAGACCAATGATGATAAGTGAAAAGTAAAATTTCACATGTATTTTTACAAGAAATGTTACGTAATATATAATTCACATTTTTATCAAAAAAAATAGTAAAGATGTGAAACTACAACTTGTTATTTGAGTTACTCTCAATCTTCGTATCTCTATACATTAAAAAAACTATTAAGTATCATTCACTTATTTAAGAATTATGAGGGTCTACAATGCTAACTAAAGATTTTAACACATAGGGTGTGTTTGGTATGAAGGAAAACATTTTCCAGAAAATATTTTTCAATTTTCTCATGTTTGGTTGGGTTAAATGTTTTGGAAAATGTTTCCAACTCAACTCATTTTCCTCAAATTTAAGGAAAATGACTTCCCTTCAAAACTTATGTTCTGTTTGGAAGGATACCCTGGTAATTGGATTTGGTGTAATTAGGTGTAATTACATTGTCTGTCATGTTTGGTTGGACAGGTAATTACTTGGTCAGCATGTAATTGGTGTAATTAACCGGGGGTAATTACACTCTCCAATTCACAAGCAGGGGTTGTGAATTGCTGGTAATTACATGATGTAATTACCAGTTGATTACTTTTTAATTTCTTTTTTATTATTTCTATTTTTATTTTTATGTTTTAATTTTTTTTTACTTCTATTAGTTTAAGTTTTTTTTATTATTCTAAAAATTATCTATTTTTTAATTGTTATTATTATATTTCATTTTCTTTTCATTCTCAATCTTACTTCATGTGATTCTATGCAATTTTTCGTATTATCTATTTCTTTATGCCATGCTTATTTTCTCATTAGCATAATTTTATTAGTATTCTAATTTTTAAATTAATATAGAATTTATTGTTAAATAAGGTTATAGACTTGTGTTTTCTTTTTAAAAATAAAATAAAAACAAATCATATTTATGTATGCTATGTTGAAATTTGTGATATGAGTATTATGTTTAAACTTCTTTTTGAAACTGATAACTTATTTATATTTTCCGTTTCATTTGTTTAAGTAATATTGAATTTACATTGCAAGTCATCTTTTAATTAGACTTGATAGATTATCTTTTTTGTCAAACGTTTTAATAACTTATGACATTTTATTTATATATTAATTTTTTTATCAAATATGCATTTCACGATGTTCGTAGAAATTTTATACTTTTAGTTTTTTATGATCAATTCAATTGAAATATATAAATTTTAAAAAATATAAATCAATTAGTTTTTCATAATATTAGTTAAGAACGTATGTTTATTAATTAATATATTTTCAAAAAATAATATATATCTTAAATATTTAATTTAAATCATTTATAAAGTTTATTATTTGTCTAGTATAAATTTTAAATAATTAATTTTTATTTTTAAAATATTTAATATAATTTTATGATTGCAATTGTGCATTCAAACATAACATGTGTAATTACAATGTAATTACACCGTGGCAACCAAACAGATCAGTGTAATTACTAGATTGTGTAATTACTAGGCCAGTAATTACTACCCTAGTAATTACACCAATTTCAATTACCAGGTGGCTTTCCAAACAAACCTTAAGGAAAACATTTTCCAAAAATGTCTTCCAACTTCAAATTACAATTTTTTCTTTGTTGAAAAAATCAATTTATTTTGTCCTTACCCTCAAATCAGCCCCCCAAACCACCCCCTCCCCCCCCCCCCCGAAAAAAAAGAATTTAAAGCTTGTTTTTAAAAAATGTTTTTAACTTCAATTTTTTTACCCCACCCTCACCCCTACCCCCAGCCCCCTACCACCACCCCCTCCAAAAAAATATTAAAAGGTGTTTTTAAAAGATATTTCTAATTTCAATTTTTTTATTTTTTTACCCACCCACCCCCACCTCACCCCCCATCAGCCCCCCACCCCCTTCAAAGAAATATTTAAGTTTGTTTGTAAAAAATATTTTCTACTTCAAATTTTTATTTTTTCACCCCTACCCTCGACATCCCCCGCCAACCGCCTACCAGCCCCCCACCCTCCCAAAAAAAAAGCTAAGTTTATTTTTTAAAAATAGTTTCAACTTCAAAATTTTATTTTTTCACCCCGATCCTCGACTCCCCCCAGCCCTCGGCCAACCCCCACCCACCAAAAAAATTTGAGTTTGTTTTTGAAAAATACTTTCAACTTCAAAATTTCCTTTTTTTCACCCTTACCCTCGATCCCCCCAACCAGCCCTCCCAACCCCTTACCAGCCCCCCAACCCCCCCCCCCCCCCCCCCGAAAAAAAAATTTAAGTTTGTTTTTTAAAAATATTTTCAACTTCAAAGTTTTATTCCACCCCCCCCAAAAAAAAATTTAAGTTTGTTTTTAAATAATATGTTCAATTTCAAAAATTATTTTCTACTCCAGTAAAAATAAAAGATATTTCTCAAAAATATTTTTCATTTATAAATGAAACAGTAAAAAAAAATTTCGGAAAATATTTTCTACTCACCAACCAAACATGAGAAAATAAGTAAAAAATCTACTTGTTTTCGAGGAAAACATTTTCCTTCATACCAAACACACCCATAATTTGTATAAGATCTGTTAAACGAGCCCCGAGCGTTGGGCATGCTTAGGACGTACAGTTGGACGCTTAGGGCATAAGTCTTACAGAACTAAGCCACACACTTGAGTCTCGGGGCGTTTTGCTAGAGCCCCGCCCTAGGCTGAGCCCCGAGGCGAGTCCCAACAAAGTTTTTTAAAACACTGATTTTGATTTACTTACATTTCTTTCCAATATATATGTTTTTAATATTATTTAATTTGTTAAACTCTATATTTTCTCTTTCCCCCTTACGCCATTCTATTTTAGTTTATATGCTCTATATTTCGAGACTAAAATAGTTAATGGCATCTTCATTTCACTCTTTATTTTCCACATTTGAATAAAACTTTTCCAAATTTAATGAACTACTATTAATACTTTATGTTTCACTTTTTTATCATTTCTATTATATAATATTTGTAATTATCATATTATAAATCATATAAGACCATTATTATTTCTATTATATAATATTTGTAATTATCATATTATAAATCATATAAGACCATTAATTAAATCTCTAACATTCGTAGTTCTTTTTAATATAATATAAAATTTTAAAAAATTTAATATATACTACTTTTATTCCGAATTAATAATATTTCCATTTTTAAAAATATTTCATCACTTTAAATTGTATAATTTAAAATAATAATAATAATAATAATAATTATTATTATTATTATTATTATTATTATTATTATTATTTCACTATGAAGAATGCACAAAATTTAAATGATAAGATGAAATTTTTAATTTAAAAATGCAATACATAACATAATAATTTAAATACAAGAGAGCAAAAAAAATTCCATTTGAACTTCATAACGCATTAATAGAGCATTTATAAAAGCAATGTAATAATCTTAAAAGTTGAGTTTTATGTAATGTTTATATGATTGTATTTTATTAATAATTTCACTTTTATTTGAGTTGTCCATTAATATGTTTATATAATATTTTATTGCAATATATGTCATTTGGAAAAATAAAGAATTTTGAAAAATAAAATAAAATTTATATCACATGAAAATTATATAAATTGATTAAAATACAAAATTGCAAGCAATTATTATATAATATACAAATTAATGGACAATTTAAATACAGTAAAACCTCACTAAATTAATATAGGTGGAATAATGAAATATTATTATTTTATAAAGGTATTATTTGATAAATAAATTAATATTTATTAATTTTAAGAGTGTTTCGACACCACAAAATTTATTCGGGGATGAAATCTCAAAGAATTTGAATGAACCCACTTGTAAAAATATCATTGAACTTGAGGTCATGATTAATGATCTCGATTACCGCAATGAAATGGACATTAATAACGTATTGGATGGTGAAAATGATACATGTTTAGAGGTCCACAACTTAGAACAAATTGTGGATATCACTGGAAAAAACAATGTTGATGATAAAGTTGAAGATGATACAATACATTTGGAACCAGTTACGCGTAAAGAAGCACTTATCACATCTAGAACTCTTCACAATTTTATGGTACAGTTCGAAAAGACAACACTGAAACTTTTCGATGCAATAAGAAAAGTTAGGGATGAGCTTCAACTAGATTTAAATTTTGACAAAAAAAAAACATAATAGAATCATATTTCACTAAATTATCTTAGATATATTTGTACTCTTAAAGAATAATTAATTTATCATATTAATGGGACCATATATTTATATAAGGGTCTTTCGAAAATATATTATCTTATTATCTTATCGAAATGAGTGATTTTTCCATTGGCCCAAGTTGGACTGTAACATCCCGGAAATCTAATGA